GAAAATCACAATCTGGCAACGTCAGCAACGCAAATGTTTTTTTCGTCGCAGCTTTTAAATATTTAACGGGATGCGCAACAGGCCAATCGAGGGGCGTTCACAAATGGTCGCTTTATCAGTTCTAGTTGGAACTAGTATGCGAATTCCAATTCGAATGCAAATCACACTGGCTGCATACACTTACCGCGAGTTGAAGGGGCGAACCCTTACGGCAACCTTGAGCGACGACATTTCGGTGGTTGCTTTGGCAGCAGCTCTTTTTATTTCCTGTTGCTGTTGTTGCTGTTGTTATTCCTTGGCTATGCGCGGCGGCAGCACAGTTATGTTAAATATGTGGGTGCGAGGGGGATGTACAGTTTGGTTCGGCTGGCGTGTTTGGGCATTCAACGGAATAGCAACAGCGACGTAACTTTGATTGTATTAGTTTTGCCGCACGATTGTTCACAGTGTATTTTGTTACGATATTTCTTGTTTTCTTCTTTTCGCTTCTTGTCCATGCACATGTATATATGTTTGTATATATTTGCGTGTTACTATTGCTCTGGTTGCTGTTGTGCTTGTTGTTGCTGACCTTGTTATTTTGTTTTTGTTTTCGTTGTCGTGTGCAGCGTTTCATCTTGCGCGCGACATTCGGAAACAAGCACTGCACATAATAGTAATTGAAACAATAATTGTGCACAATTTGATTCACTTGCACCTTTCATTGTTTATCTCCTGTCCAGAGCAGCAGCAGCAAGAGCAGCAGCAATAACCAGCAGCAAAGCCTCTGGCAATGCGCTTCATTTGTGTGCGTGTGTGTTGGTGTCAATTTGAGTGGTTTGCTTTGTTTCAAATGCAAATGTTTTTGTCACGATTTAAGCACTGATGAGTAAATTGCATATATTGCACATCCGAGCGTGAAAACGCACGACACAAAAATATTGGTTATTTTATTCGACTTGTTTTTCGTGTGTATTGTGCGCGTTCCGATGTTGTTGCTTATGACGTCTTCTTCTTACTGTAGAAATGTTACAGTGTTGCACAATGTTAATGTTAGCACAAGTCGCTGTTGTACTCAAAATGGGCACTGTTAAAAAGCAGTATTTTTCAAACTTGCTGCACAGTAAAAAATTTCATAAAAATACTAAAATCAATACAAATTATATTGCCCAAACTGTAACTTACTGGAGCAAACAGTTGCAAAATAATAATTCAATTCACTAAATACTCAACGTAGTTGAGAGCCAAACTTACGCTGAGCTTGTGTTTTATTTTATTGATTTATAAAAACATACTGTTTGCAAAATATATTGTAGTATTAAAGCGACTCTTGACGTTAACGCAAAATGGAGCAACGTGAGCGCAAGTGCACTGCTTGAAATCAGTTGCACTGCTTAGTGGAGTGCAACGGCGCAGTGATATTTCCAATTGGAGCGATTGGCAAAAGGTTCCTATAAAATAAGTTATAAGATATATTGATTATATTCAAGTAAAATTATAAAAAATTTATCTCAATAAATTTACATAAAACAGTACTAAGAAAATGTACAGCAACTTAGATTCCCTTCGAAATTAATTTCTTGTTAAGTTTTACAAAATGCTTAAATTCTAAATCAGTTATATTTAGACATTAAGTCGCTTATACTAAATAAGTTTTTTTGTCTGTGCAATGACCGCACGCACACTCACACAATAGACTGTTGCTTTTGCAATTGTGAGTGAAGTGCTTAATATGTGACAAAAGACCGGATATATTCAATTCTGTGACCTGCGTAGCCTGCGCAGAAAACGTAATGATCAGCTATGATATACCCTGTGTAAAAATATTACAACTGAACTACAATCTTTTGACTAGAATAATTTGACTAGCATAAATGAGTAAATTTCAGTTAGCAAATGTTAACAATATTCTCTATGTGTGCATACACCTTTTACAAACTAAATGTTTACAGGGTATAGCGATAACAAGGAAAATATTGTGTAAAGTGTGTAAAACGGCGACAAAAACAACTTCGGTTAAACCGGCTCAGTCGCTTTTCATCAACTACAACAGCAGCAAAACAAGTAGGAGAGCGCTAGCAGGGAGTACACGACTAGACTATACCCTCCATTCTTGCACTTTGGTAGGCAAACAATAATCAACATCAGACAAAGTTCATTCAGTGAATTTTGCATATATATATGCTATATAAAAATATATATTTTTAATAAATTTTTACTGTATATATTTTAAAATGTATTTTCTTACCAAATGTGTGCTATAACAAATTTATATAAATGATATAAATTCATATAAATATTTAAAATTTACTTAATTGATTTATTAATTTATTGATTGATCTGACAGATGGGCATTGTCTTCTTCTGCCTGTTGCGTAGATTGGCCTGTAAACGATATACCCTCTTTATCCACTTTCAATGGTAGCTGATTGCACAGAGCCCATAGACATCGTTCAGTCTGTCTGTCTGTCTGTCTGTCTGTGTCTGTGAAACTCTCAATGATTTCGCTTTCAGCTTTGGCTTTTCAGTTGCATCTCAAACTGTGATCGCAGCAGTCGCCCGAAGCCGAAGCACGCTGCCAGAGTGAGTATTGAAAATTTTATTCGCTTTTCCTCTGTGACTCGAACAGAACCGAACCAAACCGAGCCGAGCTGATCAGAGCAGAGCAAAGTTGAGCTGAGCTGAGTTGAGCTCACTTTCTAAATGCAAATGCTCGATCAGCTGCTTCTGTCTGCTCGCATTCACAAGTTGTGCACGACGTCAACGTCGTCATAGTCACGCCCCGAAGCCCCTGCCTGAAGCTTCCTGACTTCAAGTTAAGCTTAAAGTAATTCAATTCAATCTAAATGACATGCGCTGCATAATAATCATCCTCAGTTTTGAGTCATACAACAGTTTTACTATCTTAATACATTTGTTATCGCCCTTTAAGGCACACTGGAGAGCAATTAGGAAATGGAAAATGGTATTTTAGAAATATGTATTAAATTATTTGGATTGTAAAATTCTGAAAACGAGTTAAGAGAGAGAAAGTTGTTTTTTAGAGAACTGAAAGCTGAGTGGAAAATATCTAGAGCAAAACTGATTTAAAATTCTTACCTCAATTCATTAAACTATTATTGTTTAACCTAAACGTAAACAGAGAGTATTAATTAAATTAACATAAAGAAACAATATAAAAAAAAAAAACTGAAGAGCAACATATTTTAAAAATAATTGGGGGAAGCATTTTTGTTTTTAAATAAAAGTTTTACAGACATGCTTCAACATTTCAATTGATATGTGATTTAATTTAGAATTAAGAAATCAAAACCTAATTTTATTTTTCAAAAGCAAGTGTAGCTGAAAATGTAGTTTTTTAATTATTAATTTTTTAAAATTTTATTTATTTACTTTATTTTATTTATTTATTTTTTATTTATTTATTTTATGTTATTTTATTTTACTCTATTTTTTATTTGTGCAAATTGAGATGATTTAAAGTGGAAGACAAACAGTTTTTTAAAACAATTTTGTTGCAGGAGTAGAAAGTTAAAGAACTTTATTAGTGAGCAGCTTAACTGATATTTACTAATTTAATTTATAATTTAAATAATAAAAATAATCAAATAAAATTAGTTCGAACAAAATAAAAAATATTATGAAAAATATTATTCAAATAAATTTTGGCATATTTTATAAATAGCTTGTGACATTAACTTAATAATTCGTTATTGTTTAAGCTTTATATGCATGCACATAAAATCTAAATTATTATTATTCAATTCGAATTTTGCAAGGCTGAACTTGATGCCGAATTAAAAATGCCCTCAGCGAGTGTATAATAAAAAAAAAAATATCTCTTGAAAACATCAAAAAAGCTTGTCTAAAACCAGGAGAGTAAAGGGCCAGAGTAATTTTTGATGGGGCACTCAACGAACTGAAAGGTGTTTGCAGTAACAATAAATAAAGGCTTGGCGATCGGGCGTAACTGATTGCATTATACTTGTTCACGTGCCAATATATATATATAGATGCATATTCTTCAGCTTGACACGTAAGCCCTTCAATCCCTGAAACTTTCTTTTACAATTATAATATTACTACCAGAACTAATGAAAATGATTTGAAAGAGGTTAACTAATTGTAATAAATATATCTTAGCTCTGTATACAGCGCTCGTGTGTAACGCAAGAGACAAAACCAATATACTCTGCTCCCACTGCGAGCTGGTATAAAAAGCTTGTTTAGGTTTTTAGTATTTGAATTTACATTTAAAGTGCTTTTAGCCAACTATAAAAATTTGATTGATTTCCTTAATTGGGACGCATGTGAAATCTAAGAGATGCTATGAGGAGACTTTGCTTAGTATATGATATTTATGAGGACTTTCTAATAGACTAACTACAGATTACAACACTCAAACTTTAGCTATTTTATTTAGTTAGTTTATTTATTTATTTATTTATTTTTTTTGATCAGTCGAGAGTTCAGCTGAACAACTTGGGCATTGACCATGGTCAGCCATTAGCACTTCCCAGTTGTGTGCGAACCTTAATAGGCTTTAGGGAAGTACTTACTTGAGTTGCACTGTAATAGTGAGTGTGATATGAGCTCTGCTGTTCGCCGTTTCTGTTTGTCGAGTGCAAATTAACGCATCTAACAGATACACACAAATGGCTACAGTGGACAGTCGCCAAACAAGACCCAAGCCATGCCAAGTCAAGTGTAGCTCCAGTCAGTGCTCACAATGAGCTAATCAAGCCGACACTAGAACGTCACGGATGCCCCCACTTAGTGACCAATCCAGGCACGCATGCTAGCCACAATAAGCACTAAGCGATCAATTGCTCAAATTGCGTCTCCAGAGTCTCCGGCTCTGCTTGGCATGCCAGGCAGGCCCACCAGATAGACGGCAGATCGGCCGATTAGTCAGACGGCAGACAACGAACAATCGATACGATCTGCCCCAACTGGCCTCAGCTATATGTATCTCTGTATATAGTATCTGTCCGCCGCGACACTCGCTCAGTTGTCGCTCAGCAGTTGCGCGGACAGCTTGAAATAAACTGTCCAAAACTAATTAGCTGACAAGCCAAGGCAAAAAGCAAAAACAAAATACAGAAAAATCTAATTTGATTGTAAGTGTAATTTAAAGTTTACTTAACGAGCTGAAATTACTTAATTTAAAAAGATTAACTAAATGCTAAATGTGAGCCGAGTGTGTAACTGTAACAGTATCGAAACTGTATATTAAGCCAGTGTAATTTGTTGTTGCTCGTCAGTTATATAAATATATATGGATATTCGGTCGACCTTGGATATATATCTATATATATTTGCATAGTTTGAGTGTTGAAATATAGCAGTGCTCAAAATTAATTTGTAATTTCTTAACTTGCTAAAAATTTGAAATGTGAATATTACTTATTCAAGTGCTTAAATTAAAAAAATTGAAAATTATATCTCAGATAATATCATTTCAATTTCAAGTTGTTATCGAATTCGTAGGATATTAATATTAATATTAATAATTATTTTGTACTATGCAAATTGTTGTTTACTTATAATGACAATGTTTTTATTTAGCTTTGTCATTATAGACATTAAACAAATTTCAACTAAGTACCTATTTGACGATAGTGTCATTAGAATATCTTCAAGATACTTTCAACATTTACAGCTGAGTTTTAAGGTCTGTTAATTTCATTCGCAAAGTCTGCCATTTATAAATTTGTATATTTAATATTTATGCAAATATTTATTTTAGAGTATCTTTAAGATACTTTTTGTTGAGCACATATCTCATCAAGTATTATTTATAGAATTGCAATTTTTGGTTTGGTTTTTTTTTTTTTTTTTTTTTTTTTTTTTGTCTTACTGCTATCGAAATATCTTTGACCTAAACTTAAACTTAAATTTCGGCTACTTTACTGCAGTGGCATTGCTGTAACTCACAGATACTTGCACATTTCACCGCAGCTTCCACTCGGCGTCAGCTCAATTGCACAGTTTTTAAAGCTCAAGTCAAGGTCGATCTTTCGTGAGTAGCGCAAACATCGAACCGGTTTGAGTTGGACTTTTGTTTATTTAGTTTTTGCTGAGCCAAGCTTTTGGCCAGACTCGAAGCAGTAGTTGCACATCAATCACTCAGCCGAGCACGTCGCACACTCGCACTCGTTTACTAAAGGAAGAACAATCTCTCTTATTTTAATCAAATAGTTTCTTCACACTTTGGCAAAATGAGGTTCAACTCTGCATTGATTTTATTGGGCGCCGCAGTGATTGGCTTTGCCGCTGCCACCGATGTGAGGCCATGCCCGAAATGTGAGTAGAATCACAACGACCACGCCCACACACACACAGACACACACACCTAAACAAGCTAAATTGCTTCACCTCTTCAACTAGCCAAAGCACGTGCTCTGGGCCCCGATGAGGTCACCATATCGAACTGTCCCAAGAACAAGTGCATTCTGAAGCGCAACTCCGAGGCCAGCATCACGATGAAGATCAAGCCGGAGCGTGACTTTGCCGAGCTCACCTCCGATATACAGGGCATCATCCTGGATGTGCCGCTGCCCTTCCCCGGCTACTATGGCACCAGCGCCTGCCCGCACATCTACGACGCTTCGGGCGAGAACAAGGTGGGCTGCCCGCTGAAGGCCGGCGAGACGTATACGTACAAGAACAGCTTCAAGATACTGCCCGTCTATCCGACGGTCAGTCTGGAGATCCATTGGGGCCTCGGCGACAAGGAGGGCGATGCCGCCTGCTTCCAGATACCCGCCAAAATCAAGGCTTAGACGGAGATCAGATTGCTTTGCACTTTAGTTCATAAGCTTTATTTGTTACTATTAAAACGTGTTGTATGTATAGAATAATAGTTACTTTACTTTCGGTTAAGTACAATTTAAATTGATTATGAATTTGAATTCTGAATTTGGAATTCGTATATTTGATATATATTCAAAAATATTTGATTAATTGATCTAGGCAATATTGCGGCATCCAGCCAATGGCGCAATATTGTGCTCGCAAAGCGCAGAGAGGGAAGAAAACAAGAAATATGCATATAATGTGGTTATAATAATAATATTGATATTGTTATTGAAAGTATAAGTAATTGAAAACAAAAGCTTAAAATGTTTCTATCATTTACATTTAATGTTGCTTAATAATACAATAGATCATTCGCATTTAACGCTTAGCTCTTGCTAGCTGGCCGACGTGTCGTATACGCGATTCGCGTGCAGAAATCCCAAAGTTGTGATCGAAAACTTTTTATTTGCCATTTTGTTGTTGCTGTTTTTTTAATTTTTTTTTTTTTATTTTTAAATTTTTTAATTGGGGCGCAGCATGCAAAGATCACTTATCTGATGGAATAAATATCGTTTAATTGTTTTTGCTTAACTTCAGCTCAATTTGTTTATGCGTGTGGCTGTCTGTCTCTGTGTGTGAGTGTGTGTGTGTGTCTGTGTGTGTGTGTGTATCTGTGCCTCGTATACATGTTTTTCTCATTATTCGGTCAACGTTCACTTTGCAAGTTCAAAAAAGTCGGCAACCGGCAACATTTGCTGCTGCTGTTGTTGCTGCTGCTGCTCTGCCTCGGCCAATGCTTGCTGCAACTTGCGCCAGCTCTCGGCTGCATCGCTGGCATCGAACTGGCGCTGCATCTGGCGCAGCTGCAAGCGATGCTGCCGCAGCAGCTGCCTCCATTTTGCCTCGTTCACATCTCGATTGCGTTCGGCCGCGCTCGATTCGCTCGCTGAGGGCGTCAAAGCGGACGCAGCTTGGGGCAAGTTGTAGTTCTTCATGTTATTGTTGTCATTGTTGTTGTTGTTATTATTATTGTTGTTACTGTCATCGTCAATAGCATTCATATTGTTGTTGAAGAGCTGCTCAGCCAGGCTGTCGACCAGAGGTGTTGGCTACGGACGAATGGAGGAAAAGAAGAAGAAATTAGATATAGTTTTGCAACGAGTGACAGACAAGATAAAAGATATGGGGTTCTATTGTTATTTGGATGCCATCAGTTGCTTGGATTGGTTATTATTATATACTGAATAATATTGCAAGCTAATTATGACAAAGGTATATAAGAGGTAAGGCAAATGATCTCCATATATCTATATGTTACGATATTATTATAAAAACCAGATATCCTAAGCTCTCTTGTGTTCTTTTACCCTAAACCAACCAAAGTTAAAGGCTAGTCAAACAAGACTTTCGAATTTAGCAAACGAGGAGTAAATATTGGAATAGTTTGAGTATGTCAATAGTCAATAGCAAAAGTGAGAGATAGGCTCAAATAACTGAGTTCGATTCAAATTGCTGAGCTGAAACTGAAAGTTCAATTGATTGTTTAAAAAAGAAGAGACAAAGTCTAAGATTTCACGTCCCTAGCTCTTATGGATGCTGAGTTAGAGGTAAACAAGCGGCTCTGTCGAATGGGTTACTTAGGCAGATCCAAAAATATTTACATATAAGCAAATAAATAATAATGGGATCGTTGACTTGTTCTTCTGTCAGCAAAATGCATTTAAGCCAAATCCCATTTAATTTGAATTGGGGTTAGAAACAAGTTTTAAATGTGCTAAGCAAATATTTCAGAGTAATATTCAAGTGAATAAGTTAATGCAAAAATTCCATTAAATATATTAAATAAAGCAATAAAACTTTGAAACACAGCTCAGAACAAAGACTTAAGAGTCGAATATGAATTCTAGCATATAATTAATAGCTAAATATATATAAAGCTAAATATGTTAAAAAGTTTTTATAGTTGTATAGTTCATAATTTATTAACAGAAATGTCTATATTTAATAATTGTAATTAATTTTGGTTGTCGCTAATTATTTTAGCTAAGAGCCGCGACACCATAAAAAAAAAAAAAAAAAAAAAAAAAAAACATTTCCTGTCCCAATTAATATATCAATTGACACGCAGTCAAATTGCGGCATTTCAACTGGGTTATTTAGCTATAAATCCAGCTGAAGCTAAATGCTGCCGGATAAGATTAGCTCGATAATGGTGCTTTATGATGTGGCTCAACCTTTGTCAAATCATCGCAATGGGGAACTCACCTGCTTAGCTGCAATTGCTGCCCTGTTGCCCGAACGCTTGCCGTGAGCTATGCCAATCAGAGAGAGCGAGAGGGAGAGAGATATAGGATGATGCCACATAATGTCAGTTTACAACTTACCGCCCCAGCACGAGTGTCCAAATTCCAAACAGGAGCCTGCAAGCAACAGGGAAAGCAAAATAATGTGGACTTAATAAATCATCATCATTCCGGCAAGCCACTGAAGAGTTAAGCTATGCAAAGGAGTAAATTATGACAGAGCGCCACGAACTGGCCTCCACGAACTGCCCCGCTGCGCTGCACTGATCACAGCGGTACATGGAGTCTAGGCGTGGCTGTGTGGGCGTGGCAGCTGACTTAAAAAGTTAAGAATTGCCAAGAAGTTATGGCGGCTGCTGCGGTTTCCTGGTTTACATACATTTTTAATGTATTTGCCCTTTAGGCAGAGTATTTTAATGTAAAACATGAATCTGGCAATATATGGTGTGCACAGTGCTCAACAAACAATTATTTTGAAATTTTTTTAAATATTTACTTTCTTGTTCAATTATTCAATTAGAATTGGTTTTACTTATAAATATATTTTAGGGCATAAATTATAAATAATATAATTAATTTTGGGTATAAGCATTGTCATTCAAAAGTCCAAAAAGGCAAATGCTTGAGAGGTATAGATATATTTGTCGATAGCTGTACGTATATGCTTGAAGGCTATTTACTACCCCACTTGGCTGGGTTCTATATAGATTAATAGCTCTAGGACTGACATTGTAAAATTCAAGCATTACAAATGCCTTTTATCAGATATGATATATATAAATATTCATATTATAAATTTGATTGATTGATATATCTATGCAAATTTCATAATACTCATATCAATCTCAGCACATGATACGTGAATAGTCGTATATCAAATCAGACAAAGCTAACTAGAGAACTCTTTAAGAGTATTGTGTGTGCGCCTCGCCGCAGTACAGTAGTACTCCATTATGGTTGCCATGGAAGTGTTATATAATGCCGCGACCTGTGATAAATTTAGTCCATTACAAAGTCGTATGATATGGCACCTGTGTAATGTGTTGTTGAAAGCAGCTCTCAGCTGGCTGGAGAAGTGCTAAAACTAGATGCAGAGTGAGACAGAGACAGAGAGAGATAGAGGGAGGAAGAGAGAGGGCTGGAGTGTGAGGAGCTGTTATGCAGCTCAACGTAGATAGGGGAAGGACTATTATGCACTGTCCTTGATGCTGCAGTTCATTGTGTGGCCAAAAACTAATCGCACAAATGGATAGCCACGTCGACATGTCCACACAAAGGACTTTGGCTTGGCTCACATGTCACACAATGAGGCGTCAAAGAGTCAACATAAGAGCAGCTGCGACACTTGGATAAGTTTACGCAATCCATTCAAGAAGCAACAGCAGCAGCACCGGCAGCAGCAGCACCAGGAGCCGCCGGAGCAGCATTTCCTGGCAACAAAACGACGCAGCTGGGCCGCCCCTTCGTAAGTGTCCTTTGCGTAATCTCCTCCTGGCCAGTGCCAGGCACATTGATAACGGAAAAATCAACTTTGACTGTCCAAACAGAGCCGTCTATCATGCCATGAGCCATGTGCCATGAGCCGTTGGATGACTCTATCTATGAAGCCCTATTTAGCTGTTGCCAACGCCCGTTGTCGCCGCCATATGTCCGATGTGTAATCATTTGTCAATTACTTAAGCCATGGATTAATTGTGGCCAACCGCGCTATAGAGATAGCCCCCACTCAGGGATTTGGATGACGCGTCGGCGCTCAATCGAAAGGCTGTCATTAAATGGCCAAAGAGGACCCTTCTAAGCGCCTAATTAACGTGCCCAGCCACTTGACTGATGCACTGTGTCCAGTTGCTGTTGACGTTGGCGTTGCCATCGACCCTCTTCATTCCGACTAAAGCCAATTCCTTCCTTTTAATAGCCACACAAAAGTCGCACGTCTAAATTAAAAGTGTTACGCCATTGGGTAATAAAGCTATTTTTAAGTGTCCCGAAGTAAATGCGGACATAAAATTGTCATTTTTGACAGGGGAATCACCTCTTACGAGGCAGTTAAAAGAATATAAATATTCTAAGCTGTCTCATAAGCCAACCTGTTGAATGAATTGCTTCAGGTGTGATTTGGCTTTAGGTAAAATTTGAATTTTACAAATTATAAGTACTATGTATTTTATTCCCGTAACTATAAATGTAATTAGTGGTTTTTTTTTTTTTTTTTTTTTTTTTTTTTGTGGAAATGAGTAGGCGAATATTAATATGAAAAGTAATGGTTAAATTGCTTAGACGATTAATCAGTTAAGCAAATGAAAAGTTCTTGAATTTATCGCATTCTCCACTCTATTTAGAGCCACTTCTAATTGCCCAATATAGATCTATGAGCTGATAAGAGTAAGCTTACATCTAAAGAACTCAAAAATAGAATATTGCATAGTCTCTAGTCCCTCCAGACACATGGGCAATAGTAAATGCCTTTCCCATATGATGGAAATGCCTGCGCTAATCGCTCGCCTAATCTGTCATCCTGAACCTAGGCCAACCCAGCTAGTTTTCCATTATCTGAGACTCAGTTCAAAGGCCAGTGCCGACACAAGGGCTGCAATCTAAATTGTGGACACCATAGAGCTGAGGATAAGCATGGTCCGTATTAAGCCGCAAGCAACCACAACTGCAGTGGGCTGCAGGCGGTGGCACAGCTTGAGTGGTTCACACGACTCTTTTTTTTTTTTTTGTGCTTCGTCACCTGAAAGTGGAGCTGAAGCTATTGCTATTGCTGCTCCTATTGCTGTTGTTGTTGTTGTTGTTGTTGCTGTTATTTGGCACGCAATTTGGATTAATTTACGACTGCAATTAAAATCGCTGGGGCATTTGCAGGCATTTTGTATACCGTTGCCGTGTGACAATCGACGCAGTTGACGCCGCGACGCGTCGCGACGTAACGAAAAATTATAGCAAATATGCCTGATGGGCGTGCCAACTAATGGGCGTGGCACAACTTGATCAAAGAGCAACGGGAAAATGTGCATAAAATAGATAATGCGCATTACAATTTGCAAAAAAAAAGCAACAAAAACAAAAAAAAAAAGGGGAATGGAAGAACAAGAACAACATAATATTAACAGCAATATGTGTTAATCAGGTAGTTGGTGGTTCTTGCTTTTATGGCCGACACCACATATTATTGTGGGAAATTCTAAGAAGGCTTTTCCAATGACGCATGGTCAGCGCTAGTTTTGTCATGTTGCTGTTATTAAATATGTACTACGTACAGGTTTTACTAAAATGCAATGGTGTAATGATAATCCGCCTCTTGAGTCGAACAATGCTAAATTCTGATATAATTGAAATTATGATCCATTATGCATTATGATCAATATAATTCTATTGCACAAAACTTGCTGATATTTAAAGATAATTTCTAGTTTCCCCCTCCTTCTCTTTGCTGACCTACATAGAGTGGAGGTAGCCGATAACAATTAGGGCAAGCGTCATTAAAACTCACGCTAGCTATGCAGCCAGCACTAACCTCTATAACTCAACTGTATAGTGGATTTTTTTTTAAATAATTGATTTAATTAAAGCTTGCAATTTCATCAGACAGTTCTATAATTAATTAATAAGCGGGTTTATTAAGAGCAACGGTAAAACTCAGAGGACAAGCCACAAAAGATGCAAGTGCATTTTTATAGCATACTTTTAGGCTGATCCGTTTTTGGCTAGCTATAAAATTGCATTGATTAAGAATTTTTAACTATTCGATAGGCATATATTTTTGACTTCAAATAAATCATTTGATCCAACCCCAATGACTTTAGCTTAGTTTAGATTTATGAATTTATTAGCTTTACTAGTTTTACTATCAGCAAAAAGATAATGCAGAAATGCTTCAAAATGAATAGAAAATATAATGTATATTAATATATTAATTATTAATAAGTTTATTATATTTATATTATTTTCCATGAAATATAATATATATTAATAATTAACGTATGTTCTATATATACATATATTATTTAAATATTAATATATATTATATTTCATGAAAAAATATTTCAAACTTTATATGAATTATAATATATGACTACATATATTAAATTAAAAAAAAAAAAAAAGCTGAAAATTTCTGAAAAGTTCGAACAATTCAAAATATCTGAATATGTTTCTATAACGTTATATATATAAAATTACCCAGGAAGAAAAATATGTTTTTTGATTAAACTAGTTATGTAAATTCAAAATGAAACAAAAAATTGTTTGTGAATATTAATGAATAAAATACATTTGTTAATTGATTTTTCTTTGATTTATATAACAAATATAAATTTCGAATATATTCTTTTATATATACATGTTCATAATTTGGGCTACATTTTCTTTCCTACTTTCAAAAATGTATTTGTGGTAAATTCAAAAAGGCTTTGATTTGAAATAGAAAAACAAATTACGATATAAATACTATACAAAGTGTGTGTCAATACTTATTTGGGATTTCCTATGGAACTTTTTTTTTTGTACTTTACCTGTCACAAGCGTAAAGAGGACCAGAAATACAAAGATAGTCCAACTAAATTTCTGGCAGCACATTTTCAGATCGAAGTGAGCACGTTTTAAACTGGCAAAGGGAATTTGTAAGATATCAACTGTGGCCCGCTTTCAACTTCACTTTTAATGCACTGGCGATAAAAAACTTTGTGCAACAGTTGCGCTGTGTAGGTGTTCTGTGATGCAGATGTAAACTGGAATGCGTGTGCTCGAAACACTTTTCGAATTGGCAGCAAAATGCGTTAGACGTGCGCCTTTTATAGCTCGACCCGTGCACAATATATACAACAGAGAGCCGTTACGGCAATGAGATAACGACAGCCAATGCGAGCGTCCACACACGAAGCAGCTGGGCCAGACGAAGGACGACGATGGCAACGCCGCCAACGCACGACCGACGCAACGCCGCCAATGAGCGTTGCGTTCCGTTCCGTTACGTTGCGAGGACCAGCAACAGGCTGATATGGGGGACATAGGGGTTAGACCGCGTGCTCGAGCCCGACCAAAAGGAAAAGCTTTCATTTTAATGCTCTTTAAAGAAAAAACGCAATCTGAACAATTGTTTATTGTCACATCCTAAAATAGCTGTGTAAGTCGCCTGTGATGTACCTGTGCTCCTGTATTATTAAGTGTAGTATTATTATTCAAGTGTTTAGCTACCAAATACAACATTTCATCAATCATTTAGTTTCGAACGCAGTGTGGGCTGTGTGAATTATATCTAAACTGTGTTATAAGTCCCCGATCTGTCTAAGTGTGCGTTGTTTCATGTAAAATAGGCCGATAGTCGATGCAGTGTATGTTTTTTGGCTTATTCCAGCTTGGCCAAGATGTCGCTTTCGCGGAATAGCACGTATTCGCGCTTATCATCCATGTCCACCTTGGTGCCGCCATATTTCGGCAAGAGCACACGGTCGCCCTCCTTGACGCCCACCGGCAAGTGTCCAGCACCAACGGGGTTACGTGCTCCGGGTCCCACAGCTACGACGACACCCTGCATCTCCTTGGGCACAGAGTCCTCTGGCAGCAAGATGCCTCCTGCTGTAGTGGTCTTTACCTCGGCGCGCAGTATTAAAATGCGGTCCAGCATTGGCACAACCTTCTTGATAACGTTAGCCATACTTTTGCAGGGCCAGAAAAAAAAAAGAAAAAGCAAAAAATTGAAAACCAAAAACGAATTTTTCCTCAAAAAGAAAAAAAAAAAAAGAAAAAAATTATAATAAAATATTTGTCACTATTTTTGCTAAAACTTTTACCTCAGGTTTTTTTTAAATAATTTTTTTTATTTTTTTATAATTTTTTTTTCAGCCGTTCACGTCGAGTGCTATAAACAGACTGAGCTATACGAGTTATACGGGAGGTAAGGAGCATTTCAATTACATGGCCTGTTCAGTTTCAAAATTTGTTTAGCCTACTATGATTTTGGTTCACCCTAAAAAATGCTCGTGTCCCTTTTAGCGTTCAGTGTAATTGTGTTGCAACAAACTTCAGTTACGCGCAATTGAATTATGTGTGAAACTAGTATAAGAACTTTCCTGTTATGTGTGTGTGTGTGTGTGTGTGTGTGTATGTATGTGTGAGCTTGTATGTGCTTACACATAATTCGTAGTTGTCTGAAATATTTTCATGGTATTTGCGCGTTGTTTTCATGAAATTCCCACGCTGCATGCGTCAGCGCCACCTGTTGGCGCTACTGCGCACTAACAACCATGTTTGTGTGAATGCGCGCGAAAATGCCCTTACGTACACGTATGTGTGTGTGTGTGTGTGTGTTTCTTCTTTGACTTCCCGACTAAATGATTGGGATGAAATCGGTGCTTTTTGTACTTCTAACTGTTATTGCTGACAACTTTTTGCCAGAATTTCGCTTTTTTGTTTCCCGAATTGCTCGTAAATCACAAAATTTCACACTCTCTACGTCATTTTGCGGGCGGCCCGTGTATCAGTGGGTGTGTCTATCTACATAGATATAAGTGTGTGTGAGTGTGTGGATCATTTGCTCTTTTTTTCTATTGGCTCGAAAGTATTTGTTAGTTCAATGTGACGTACACGAATGATATGTCAACGAAAGTGTTTAATGGGTATATTAACTATCGCTTGAAGTTTGTGGCGTTTACATGGATAACTTTCCTGATTTTTTTTTATTTGTAAATATGCAAGACTCTCAGCTTATTTACATACACGAATTCAATCTGTATTTAGTTCTATCTTTAAAAACAACATATATATATATATATATTTTTTTTTTTTTAAGGAGAGTTAAAGTTATTGCAAATAAGAAATTATCATTTGAATCATAATTATTGATAAATCTGTAATTGTTTTACTTAGCACATTTTTGATATACACTAAATAGCTTAATTATGAATGAAGAAGTTTTATTTTTTTGCAGATATACATATAAAGCTGTAAAGTACAAATAAACTTCTTCAGATTGAAGATTTACAATTTTTGCACAATACCATAAATAAAGATAAATACTTTATTAATTACTCTAAGTCAGTCTCGGTAAATAATGGATCTCAAAATATTTGGAATAAAAATGCTATAATATATAAAACTTCTTGTAGTAACTTACCAGATATTTACAAAAAATTAAAGCCAAATCAATATGTGTCATATAATTATGTTTATTATTTTATCAACAAACAAAAATATATTTTTTCAATACTCCACAAAGTATTTAGTATTTATTATATTGTGAGCGTGCTTTTGGTATATATAATAAATAAATAATGAAGCTTAGCTCAATTAGCTTAATTATGAAGGAGAGTTTTGTTGATTTCAGTAACGGAATATATAGAAGATACGAATTTTGCAAATATAAGAAAATACATAAGAGTATTCATATATCATCCATGCTATCGTAAGCAATACAATTTGCTCTGGCTTATAGATTTATGTTTATGCACCTGGGATAACTCTAATTGCAGCCAAATCATGACGTAATTGGCTGTGAATACGTCAGTGAATAGAATGCAGAAGTCGATGACGGGATGGGAGACAATCACAATGATATGTGGCTAGTCCATTTGCTTGATTGCATTTTCATAAGAAATGCACCTTTGAGTGGGTGAGCGATATTACGCATTCGCCACGTTGACAGTCGCCTGCGTTTGCAGCCCGTGACCCTGAGCTGATTATAATCGCAGTGCACGGTGTGTGGGACCTGATTAACATATTACTTATTTATGCAAACACCGAGCGCATTTTCATTTCATTTTCATTTTCATTTGTCTGCAAACCAAATCGATAATAACAAATTTTGTTTACGCGCATTGCGATATAACGAATAGAAAATAAATATTTTTTCTCCAACTCTAGCCCAACAAAAATCGGCAAATTAACGAAACCCTACAAAAAATAATTAACTTTGCTACTTATTTATTTTTTTATTGTGTGTTTTTTCCATTCACACCAAATATAAATACACTTCAATGCGTGCACTTCTTAAAGCTTTGTCATCATCATCATCAATTAAACTCTCCTTCAGCATTGACATTGTTTACTTTCCGGTAGAAGAAAAGTGCGATATTTTCATTTTGCCCTCAGCTCATTTGTCAATAAAAAATGACAGCTTGAGCTATTGACACAGCTCAGCTAAAGTTTGGCAAAACTTTTATTAAGCTATAAGACTTAAAAATGTAAAAAGATTTGCAATTTCAATTTGATTTAAAGATATATTTTTGTATAATAATATTTTAATAATTTCTCATTTATATGTATATATGTCAATTTTTTTCTGAATAATAGAGCTATGCATACATATATGTAACATGCGTATAAATTGCTATATATATATATGTATATTGTGGAAACTGATTAGCATAGTACTTCGTTTACAGTATTGTTTATATAACTTTAAACTAATGTTTAATATAATATAGTTTTACAATAATACAGTACATAATACAGTGCATTCTTGTATGCTTAGAAATACGCCAAAATACATCGGATTCACTTGTGAAATGAATTACATTTATATAGTCTCTTTTATTTATTTATTTATTTATTTTTTTTTAATTTATTTTCTTCTTACTACAGATAATATATATAAGAATAACGACTAGTTAGTCCAGCATGTTGCAATTACTTAGCTTTTATTTTTTATTTAAATAAATAAAAATACTTGCAGCGTTGTCTGAACCTTCAAATTATATTAAATGCGAATTATATTAATACATTTTTCAACTGACATATTTTTAAAGTAAGAAATAAACTCTAAATGAGAAACAAACTAGAACTTGTACTAAACGCTTTGGTAGCTGTTGGTAAACAAATTAGCTTAGAATTTATATAAAAACTAAAGTGACTTACATAGGGGGAGCAAAAAATTATAAATTACAATAAGTTAACACTAGAAGTAAACAGAAAAACGATATATGAATATCGATAAATGAATTCACTATAATTAGCAGTGCATTGTGCATTGCAAATTACGAAGCTAGTTGCGACCTTGCCGGCAGCGGGCGTTCATTTAGAGCTATCTAAAGCGACAGAGTGAGCGAGAGAGGGGGTAAGAGAGAGAGAGAGGGAGAAAGGGAGAGAGAGAAAAGAAATAAACAGAAAGAGAGAGAGAGATAGAGAGAGAAGAGTGAGATGAGGAGAGAGGAAATCATATAAACAATTGATGTTGTATTGCGTAATTTTAAGTAATATTACTCATACGATCAGTGTTACAGACCTGCATTAGCGTGTGCTTCGACTCAGTGGAATCTCGTTGCGTCTGCGACGACGAGTTGAGGGTTGTTGTGCGCCGCAATCGACGCGACTCCGGCTGATGGCGTGAATTCAACGAGCCCTTCGAGTACTTCTTGCCCAGCAGCACAGCCTGCAGCAGATCAAGCCAAGAATAAACAAATTTATATATACAAGATATAACATATAAAGAGCACAAGAGTGGACACTCACTTTGAAGGCCTCGCGGAACTTGTTGCTCATCAGATTGTAGAGCAGCGGATTGATGCAAGTGGACAGATAGTAGAGCACACCCGAAATATATGTCATCACCGTGTAGAGGAGCTCATGCTGATCATGGAGCTGGGCGCCCCGCGCTGGCGCGTAAATGGCAATCAGACGCTGCGCGTGAAATGGTGCCCAGCACAGAAAGAAACAGATGACGACGGCAACTGCGAAACGAATAGATAAACCGAACAATTGTATGTGTATTTATATTCATAAACGCTATGACAACTGTCATCAGCTAATATCATCTATACTCTGTTTGTTTTTTTTTTTTTTTCGGGGCCCAATAAACGCGCGCGACTCATAAATGTCGAGCATGTCAAATGACAGACGCTATAAATTGGCCAGTGAATGGCTGATTAAACGTGCTCATCGTGTGCCCTCTGCCCTCTGCCCTCTGCCCCCGCTCGGTGCAGGCAAATATAGCCAGAAATTGGTTATTGGGCTCACAGCCTGCGGCCATTCTACATAATTGGCTGTCATCAATGCCGAACCACACTCACCCAGCATCCGCAGCACTCGGCGCGTGCCATAATGATTCAGTCGCCCTCGCACAGAACTCAGCTGCGGCCCCGCACTGTTCGCCAAAGTCGAGCTGGAGCCGGCATAGCGGTAGAGTACCGTATCACTTTGCACCGCCTTCATTTGCTGCTTCTGGACCCGCACGCCGCTGTAGCCAAAGCCGGCTGAAGAACCCCCGCCGCCGCCGCTGCCTCCGCCCCCGCCGCCAATGACACTCGATCGGTAGAGATGCAGGCCAATGCCCAGGTACAGCACCAAGATGATGGACATGGGTGCGAAAAAGAAGATGATTGTGGACAGCTGGAACGAGTGCTGCACTATCACGCGCACCACCACGCACTTGTCGATGCCGCCGTAGTTGTTGATGCCGAACTGGGCCGCCTGCGGTATGGCCGTCAGCACGGCCAGCAGCCAGATGAGAATTATGATGCGGATGGCGCGGCTCAGCTTGCTCATGGCCTGGCCGAGGAACGGATGGCAAATGGCCATGTAGCGCTCCACGGTGAAAGCTGTGATGGTCAATACAGTGGCATTGGCGGATGTTTCGGCCAGCAGGCCACGGCCGATGCAGAAGAATTCGCCGAATACATACGGATATTTGGACCAAATGAAGTACATCTCCTGCGGCACACCCGAGAGCAGCAGCATGAAGTCCGATATGGCCAGCGAGAAGAGATAGTAGTTGGTGGCCGTGTGCATGGAGCGATTCTTCTTGATCACAATGCAGGTGCTGATGTTGCCCACGACGCCGGTCAGGAAGATGAGGCAGTAGACCACCGTCACGGGTATGACAATGGCCAGTGGATCGCGCTGGGCCCCAAACAGTTGGCTAATTGCTGACACGTTCTGATTGATGGCAGGTGGCTCGGTTGCCGGCGACATGTTTGCTCGAAATTTTCCTTCAACTGTGCGCTTTTTTGTTTATATTCATTCAAAATTTCCACTTGCGCTGGAATGTGGAGAGCCGCTTAACTGCCAATATATCCCCATATGCTAATTATTATAATTCGATGTCACGACTAAGGTAACAGCGCCACAGAACTTGAGCTAGCCAATCTCCGCTCAACTCGACTCAACTTAACTCGTTTCTTGACTGACACGCAACACACACACAACAGACGACACTAAAGTATATAGCCGGCCCAGCGAGGTCGCGATCGAATCCAGCTACGTTGCCAAATGCCCCCGCCCAGCGATTGCTCCGAGCACTGGACGCTGGACACTGCGTTCATTTGATTACAACTGGCCAAGCAGCTCGCAGTTAGCCGCTCTCAGCTTACAGCTCGCAGCTCTATATGACAATGCTTGAATGCATTGAGCCCAGCTGCATTAAGCCCGTTGCCCGTATCCGAGTTGCGAACCAAAACCCGAACCCGAACCGCACGCTAGCGCGCTCTGAACTTATCTGATAAGCACTGGCGACAATTTCATTCAGATTTCTATCCACGACGACGCGTCGCTGTCGCTGCTGCTGCTTCTGCTGCTGTCGTTGCCTCTGCCGCTGCCACTGCCAGTTGACATGTGCATATTTGTAAGTGCTTCGGTCTGTGCCTGGCTTTGTTTGTGTTTTGGCCACAATTTCTCATGGTCGCAAAAAAAAAAAAAAAAACATCGCCAGCTACCCACCCACACTCCGATGCCAACATAAACAAGAGCATCAATAAGAAACCCCACGATGACGGCTGGCAAAAAGTTTCATTCCATGCGTTTTGTCAGTGCCAGATCTGTTCTCCGTTCCACGTAGCTGACGAGTGACATTTTCGTTGGCCGCATCATATATATTAGATACACACACATATATAGACATATATCCCATTCATTTATATTATTTCGTTTAGCGCCACCTTAACTAACTGAACACCCACTTCCCCAGCCACCTCCCTCCCCCACCCGGCGGTGTCAAAGTGCGTGCGTTGTTTTCGAAATAGTTGCGCACATACATAGAAAAGCAACAGCCACACACACAGCTACATGAAAATGGTGGCTGTCATGAGCTACATGTGTGTGAGCGCGTGTGTGGGGGTGAGTCTGTGTGAGCTTTAGCAATTGCTGGCTTTAAAATCTCTAACTGCAATCTGGCTTCTCTGTTTACTTATATACGGCAACTTAACTACAATAATTTCATGTACATATACAAAGTGTTCAACAGATTTTAGAGAGCGAAAGTTACACTAACCAGCAGTATTTACGAATCGGGAACCAGAGTACAAAGAGATGTGGTAGGAGCAAGAGTTACTTTTCAGTTTCGGTATTTAATTTTTGGCCAATTAATCTATAAACAATCCTAGTTTCAAATTTATAAAACAAAAATCCTCGCTACTGAGCTTTGTTGGCCTGTGTTGTTTAGAGCTCGTGTGTATTTGATTTATCATATTAAGATTGCTTGCATACATTTAATTTATACTCTTATTAACGGTGTATAATGATCTGAATAATATTGAATGCTTAAACCACAGCCTTTGTTCTAAGTCGAAGTCTAGAGTCCAATTCATTTTATCTCAGGCACTTTCCAGTCTCGTGTTTCGTTAACTTGCAGAGATTTAAGTATTCCAGTTGACTTATAGTATAACTACAATTTCCCAATTGTCAGCTCCGTTTTCACCTAACACAAAAAACGTAACAGGAAAAAGAAATCAAACAATTTGATATAGTTAGACAAATAGATTGAGATGCAACATCAATTTTATTATGTTATGTGATAAATCGTTCGGTAAGACTTAAGACAAATTATTATAATTATAGAGAAATGTGAATACACTTATATATTCCCTATGTCAAACGACAAAGACTTGATCAAATGAAGTCAGTAAATATATCATTAAATCACTGGACACGTATTCAACCAGCCTTCACCGGGATCGGAGCCCGGAACTTCGTTCTTCGTTACCTATTCAATAGACATTTACCAATGCATGGGTTATGACACAAAAGTTTATATGCGGTTAGTATTAAATACTTGGCAAGAACCAATCGTATAATATATGCAATTAACAACACATATGAAATATCTACTCAGTTGCGCATGGCAATAATTATATAGTTGTAGTATATATATTTATGTATATAATATTTTTGTAAATACTATCAAACTACTAAATATGTATTCTTAAAATGTTTTCATTCTACTTCCACATGTTTTATCATACACTTAAGTATGATATGGAACTGTTAAAAAAGAAAAAAAATAATCTTAAAACAATACAATCTTAAATCAATTTCATTCTTTTCTTTTCAAACCACAGATTTTTTAGCTGTCAGTAAACAACCTTTTCATGATTTTTCAATATCATTATAAATTAATTGTAATCACTAAACTAGGATAGTTGAGAAAATTAGTTTTCCTTCATCTATGAATACCCTTAAGTATTTAAGTTTTTATTTCTATTCGTAAATATTCCCGAAACTTGTGTAAAATTCAACGGATTTAAATAATCAGAGCGCTATTTCCGGGAAATCTTTTGCTTTGTTTGGCTTTAACCGAGCTCGATTGATGTACTTTTATGCAACAGGTGCTCATCTGATACACTTGCTCAGTATATTTAATGGGAAAGGGAAATGTTGTTAATAAATGCTATCGACCCATATAAGAAATCTAATCAATATTAGTTATGAGCTACAAAATGCTTAGCTCTGGCTTTTATATATCTCGTTGATCTTTTAAGTCGATCTAATTTTACACAAGTTCAAGTTCAAGTAATTAGTATTGAAAGCCTCATTCTGTATTTGGCATTGTATAATGTAAATTCGGATAAATATCTGTATATCTATATAGATATATATGTATATAAGTATTTTCGATTATGGTGCAAGTTCGCAATGGGCGGCATTTTTGTACATATAGAGTAAATACATCGATATATCGTATTGATCTTATGATCGTTATGTTGCTCAATAATTTTGACACTTTGAATATATTTTAGACATATATATTTATATATAGTATATATGTATATCTGTTCATAATATATGACTCACAATAAAAGTGTCTTGTAGTGAAGCTCGATAAGTTGGTAAGTCTAGACTTGACTAGTTTTCCCAATTCTGCTTGGGATCATCATTATACTTTGCTATATCACATAACAAAAGTTTTAGATAGCTTCAGTGTATTTGATAGTTCTTGAAGAATTTTGACTTTTTGAAATGTTTAGATTCATTTATTTAGAGGTATGTTAGTAGCATGACTTTTTGGCTTGAACTATTGTTGAGTTGAGAACCATAGATAGCAGTTACAAGAGTTATTGTATATGTATATATAATATTATCTCAACTAACTGTTGAGCGAATTACAACATTTCCTCTAAGTGTATGAATTTGTATATACGTATATGATTTCACCTAAAGTTTACGACATTGTGAAGCACATTTTAATGTTTTGTGTAAAACTTAAATATATATTACTATGTAATAGACAAAAACATGAAACATGAGAAAAGGAAACATGCATAGAACAATTTGAATAAATTAGATTAGAATATAGGAAGTAATTATTATAATATAGAAAATAATCACTAAAGTCAGATTAGACAATGAATAGAAGTAGATTCGATCGTATTGCCTAGGTCTGGCTCAGATAACAATCTCGATGATTTCCGGCTCGTCCTCGTCATCGGTTCCCCAGCCGGCGTGGGGATTATTTTCGTCTAGTCAGTGAACCAGCCTCTCCTGCTATAGCGTCACATGCTTCAGTTCTGGCAGCTGTCGCGACAGAATCTTCTGTGCTGCATCTTGGTCGAGTCCATCAATGCTGCAAGCAATCAATTCCCTCAGGTTCCGGCCATGTTTGGCAATATATTTGAAGGCCTGCAGTGTGAGAATCGAGCAGTTGCTGATGGTGAGACTGCGCAGGCGTTTCAAATTGACAACGATGTAGCCCACCGCATCGTCATTGATCAGCGAGCAGCTAGCCACGGACAGCTTTTCCAGGGATGGACAGTTGACACTGAGCGCCGCTATGCCATTGGCCTCCAAGCGATTGCAGTAGTCCAGCGTGAGGTCCAGCAGCTCCGGCAGATGTAGCGCTCGCTTAAGCAGACGATCTGTCAGATTGCGACAGCCTCGAACATTGAGCTCGTGCAAGCCGCGCAAGCGACTGATGGGCGCCGGCTGATTGCCAAATCCTATGAAGCCCATGTCGGTTACCTTGATGCAGTGGTCGATCCTTAGCAGGCGCAGCAGTGTCTGGTGGCGGAAGATGGTGGATAGGGTGCGATCGGTGGTTGCCTGGCGGCAGTTGTCCAGGCTGAGCTTGCGCAGGTTGGGCAGACGCTCCAGCATTGTGCACATTGACGCCTCATCGATAAAGCACACATCCTCCAGGAAGAGCTCCTGCAGCGTATAGTTTATCTGCGTGGTCAGACCCTCGACGAGGCCCCTGCCGGTCAGTGCGCGGCAGTAGGCCATGGTCAAGGACTCTAGGCAGCCGTTCATCTTACGCAGGGCCGACACACAGCGTACGTCCAGCTGCACGCAGAACATGAGATCGAGTGAGCGCAGAGTCTTGTGCCACTTGTCCGCTATGCAGAGCAGCATTTCATTTGTTAGCGACAGCATGCCAGTGAGATCGAGGTGCTCTAGCTTGCTCGTTTCGGGAATCGCGTCCAGAATATCATCGAGGAGCACGAGATGACAATTGCCAGAGAGCTTGAGAGTGCGCAGATTGTGCATCCGCTTGAAGGCCGCACACCAGCGCAGAGTTTCGATGCCCGGCGAGCAGCTGAAGAAGAGGTCGACGCACTCCAAGGTCGGCGCATGATCGTAGAGCACCTGCAGCAGTGCAGTCTCATTGTTACGACGATACTCGAATTGCAGATGACGCAATCGCACCTTATTCTCCACGCGGCGCAGCTGCAACAGCATCAATAGCTTCAGAGGTGCGTCCAAACTGACGCCATCGCACTCGAAGCCGGTCAGATGCATGAATTGCTTCATATTGATGCCATCGATGGTCATGTTGACATCATCCAGGAAGCTGGTGGTAACTATTTTCAAGATCTTCAAATTGGGCAGCTTGCCATCCATGTTACGAAAGACTGGCGCATGCCGGACCTCCATGTGCTTCACCTCCGGCCCCACCATCTTCAAGAACTGCGACAGCTCGGGACTCTGCGTCAGATCACGCAACTCAACATCGTCAAAGCGCAAATACGAAACTCCACGCTCGATGTGCGCCTTCATTGCATTCAGATTCTCTTTGGTAACAATCACCTTGCCCTTGGATGTGAAATACCGTCGATTGACCAATTCGCGACAGCGCCAAGATACCAAACGCAGCTGCTGCAAGTCTCTGAATGACAAATAAGTCATAATCTCGATCCATAGATCATTGGGCAGTTGCTCTATGTGCAGCGGCAGACGTTTCCCATCCTCGTTAAAGGGCATCAGCGAGCTGCTAGTCCCGGTGGCCTCCATATCTGGGTCAACCTTGTTCTCCTATAAAGATTTTAGGTGAGAAATATTAAAAGTTCAATTAAACAGGATAGATTAGATTGGTGTTTGATAATCAACGCGGTTCGATTTCGAAAAGCTGATATTTCTAGACTATAATTATATTATTATATTTTATAAAATAACAGTCAGTCAAATAAAGCTGCGAATATCACAATAGTTAAGTTAATTCAAGCGCGACGAATGGCTTTGAGTCAAACTACTTTTGTGGAGTTGAGGGTGTAGTAGGTTTTTTATTATTTATATATTTTTATTTATCTATTTAGTTATTTATTTATTTTTTTATTATTTTTTTTTTTTTTACTAGGTAGTGCAATTTACTTTATCTATGATATGGATGTTAATAATAATTTTTTATTTATTATTTTAATTGACTTTGCCTTTTCTCTTTTATTATTTTTATTTATATATATATATATATATATATATATATATATATATATATATATAAAATTAAGTTTCATAAATCATTAGTTTTTAATATTATGAACTCTTTAATATTATTTGCTTTCTGCTTTCTTTTTTTTTTTTTGCGACAATTTTGCTTTGATGTTGACATTTGCTTCTTATTGATTATCATGAAAATATTGAGTATATATCGGTTGCCTACTCAAACTTCTCAGCATTTATATATACTTGAAGTTTTCAGTAACAGGGGTGTTTGACAACTAATACCAAGGGTTAAAGCGCCTACTAGCCTCTGTGCAGGTGGGCTGCACGGACTTGTCGGACTGTCCAGACTGTCCGGGTTGTCCGAAGTGCAGCCGTTAGCTGTTGCTATGCATTGCAGCGCTAGCCCGGGCAGAGCTGCGTTTTCTTCCCAGTCGAACCTCCATATATATGGTTTATGTATAGATACATGAATGCATGTACGCTTCGATTGCAGTTAGACCCACACGACACCCACACAACACCCACGAAGATGCAATTGGGATACTTTTTCAGCGGTGTCAGTGGTGGGTTGACAGCGCGGCGCCTACACAATTTTCACTCACCTGCGCCTCGACGGGCCTTTCGAAGAACACAATTCTGCCCCGGTTTATCCGTACCAATCCACTCGTAGTTAAGTTGTTTCCCATCCAGACAATTTAGGCTTTCGTGTAGAGCAAGCGAGAAATAATTGTTATCAGCGTCAAATTGCGCCTTTATAAATGCCTATTCGAATAGGTCTGTCGTCTGTCGTTTGTCAGCCACTCTACTCGGGTTTTCCAGCGCTCTTTTCCAGTTGAAGTTTTAGAATATTTCTCTTGAATTATTATTATTATTATCTTTCAATTAATTTATGTACTTCATTTGCAGTGGCAGTTCCTTGTGCGACAGCAACCTGCTCACTGTTCGAATCACAAAACACGAATACCAAGGGGGAACAAGAGCCACGCACTGTCCATACAGCTGTGTATCTAATAATGAAAATCAAACTGCCAGATACTTTTGTGCATGCTGATAGATAATTTACCGTGGCAACGCATGCTCGCATGCTCAACTCGCTCTCACAGTGCGCTCTCTCAGCGACGCACCGTCTCGCTTGCACGCAGTCTGTTGCGCCCCCTGCCTCCTCTCAGTCTTGCGGTCCCACTCTGACTTATGCTCAGCGTTTGTTTATGTTTGTTGCTGGTGACCCAGTTCCGAAAAACAAGAAACTTATATTTTGGGCCGGCAGTGACCTTAGTGGTTGCTTGGAGACGAAAATTCTATTCAGTTTGTCAAGTGTGCGGAAGGGCTGCTCTTTTCATTTACAAATACAACAAATGTGTGGCTTATAATGAGCGCTATCAGCCGAGCGGACATTGAATTGCCAAACAAATATGTCATTCAAACCACGATAATAATCATCAATATAAAAGTCATAGTAAATTTCTACAAGTGCGATAATTGAATAAATCTAGACACTTTATTTAACATGAGAATCAATCAGCTGTTTAAATTCTAGTATATAATTGATATGTAGTTTACTAAAAAAAAATATACATATATTTTGAAATTAACTTTTGGTAAAGCTTAAAAATTATTTTTTAAAAATATTTTTTTTAAAATCAATAATAAATATTACTACTACTGTGAAGTTGATCAACATTTCTATATTGAATTTACTATGAATGTAGAATAAATAGTTAACTCACCTATAAACTTATAAGCACTTCTGTATATTGTATTTAATTTTATGTAGTTGCCCAAGTGACAGTGAAGTTAGGGCCCATGAACCGCAGCCCACTTCGCGTCTAAAGTCTGTGCTGCCAGACTGTTTCGAAAATATGTTTCTCAATGTAACGGAAAACTTCACTATCAAACTTGCTCGATACGGCAGCCTAGATGTCAGCTAAATGTATTTACATTGAATTCTCTTAAAAATTTATTTGGATTGACTCCACATTAGAGCCTGTACTGTGGTTTTAGATATCGTTTTTTTACGGAAATAAGTTATACAAACATTGAAAATTATGCAGTTCTATCAGATAAGGCATTTATTTAAGATATTTACTGCGACCTTAAGCAAACATAATTAAGAATAATTGCTAAAGTTAATTCGTATATTAAGCATATTGCTAAGTTTTCTAGTTTCTCTAAATAGTAGTAATGCTCGTTCCATCAATAGCTAAACCTTTACAGCTAGACCTGAGCAGTTCGGACAGAGCCGGCGCAGTTGCCTCTAAGGCTGCGTCTGTTTGCCCAGACGCAGCGAGGGGCGACGCATGCCGACCCCGGGCGCAGCAGTGGTCAGACGGGGCAGACGGGAATTCACTGGCGGACCCATCAGACGATCGGGACCATCCGCCACGATAATGTGCTCGGCCTGACCTTCAATGGCCGGCAAAGGCGAGGCGGGTGACCATTCGGAGCTAGAACTAGAGCCCGGGGAATCGGAGCTGCAAGCAAATAAGATATACATGAATATTGCACATAAAGAAACTGAGAGAGAGAGAGAGAGAGAGACAGAGACAGAGATAGAAATGAGTGCTAACCTACCCAGCTGTGTATATGGGCGGCAGCTTCTTGTCGTAGCTGCTCGTGCTGGGCGTGACAACTCCCGCGTGTATCTCCTGCTGGTAGAGACCGTAGAGTTCGCGCAGCTCATCCGGCAGCTCCACGTTGCCCTCCTCGATGAGTCGGCGCTGCGAGCTAATGATGTCCTCGCACAGTCGCCTCTGCCGTTCGGCGCGCAGCAGCTGCAGATCCCGACGCCGCAGCTCCGCCTGGCGCGCCAGCCGCTCCGCTTGCAAGGAGACCTTGTCCGCCTCCAGTTCATGCACACGGCAGAGCAGGGCGAGCAGCTCGCGCTCCTCATCGCTTGAAATGCGCTCCGGAAGCTCCTGAGAATCAATGATTAAAGTATGAAATTGCTTATAGTTTCTCGATTAAAGAAGTTCTTAGAAGTAGTTTTAGTTATAGTATCAGTCCTCGCACTTACATCCTCTAGTTTGACGCCCTTCTGGCGACATTGCTCCAACTCGTGTTCTGTGTGCTCACGAATTTCCTTATACCGTCGCGTCTCCTTCTCAATAGCCGCCAATTCACCCCACGCATTCTTCAAAGCCACGGAACCCTCTGACTCAATGTCTGTGTAAGAGAATAATGAAATTGAGGTAAGAGAACAATGAATCCATAATTCAAAATCAGCTATATAATATAGAGTATAATTGAGATATACTATCAAATTTTCAGTTATTATATTCCCATTATATCAAGAGATAAGATCTAGAGATATCCTATCAAACTTTTAGTTATTATATTCCCATTATATCTAGAGTATAATATTCCCTTAACTCAATGCTCACCATCTTCTCCAGGCGCGTCGTACAGTTTGCCGATGCGTCCCTGCCAATGTGATATGATCATGTGCTGTCGCTCGGCATCCAGCTCCAGGCCCAGCAGATGGCTCTCGGCCTCGAGCAGTTTGCGACGCAGCTTCATCTGCTGCTTGAAGGTCAGCACAATCTGTTCGCGCAGATACCGCAGCTCCGCCTTGCGCTGCTCGTTGTGCTCCTCGCTGGGCGGCTGCTGCGCTGCGATTGAAGCGGCAGCGGCGGCAGCACCGCTGCGCGGGCGATCCGTTAGCATTTTGGTGCGCAGGCGGGTGACCTCGTCTCGCAGCTCCGAGACGAGGCTCTGATAGTGTTTGGTGGGGAAATTCTTGAACTCATCGATGTAGACGGAGCTCTGCAGCTTGGTGGTGATGCTATTTGCGCGGTCCGCGTACACCAGCGTGTTCTTGGTCTCATCCCGATGCTTGCTCTCAGGCGCCACATGGGCTATCATAACCGTCTTGCAGCGACCACTGAGCGCCTCTTTGAGCAGACGGGTGAGCTTTGAGTCGCGGTAGTTCACGTAGCGAGCACCGCCAGACAGTGCATTGATGCAGTTGCCCAGGGCCAGTAGACTGCGATTGATGTGGGCGCCCTCCTGCAAGCGCTTGCCTCGATTCTTAGTCTTCTTGGCCCGCTCCGAGCCGGCCAGATCAGTGAGGAAGAGCCTGCCCTGCTTGGTGCCCAGGGACGTGCGCGTCTGCACCGTAATACTTAGGAGGGCGTGGCTGCGCGACGAGGTCTGATTGGCCGCAGTTGGCTCCATTGTTCTCGACTTGTTGCCCTTGATGAGCAGGCTGACGACCTCCTTGCGGCTAGACGTAGTTATTTCGGAAAGGCCAGCCACTGTGATGCGCTGACCCCTGTGATCTTCCCTTAGTTCCAGCGGCCCGCCAGGATTGAGCAAGTCCCGTATGAGCTCGTTGTAGATTTCCAGATACGATATGGATACCTTGGTGGAACTCTCCGGCCCAGCCGTCTCGATGTGACCAAAAATATCCTCAATGGCGCGCACCATTAGGCCAATGTCCTGACTGCTAACGTCCGCCTCGTAGCCAACGACTGCGGTTGGCCCCCGATCCGCCGTGGAGGGCTTCTTCCGGGGCACAGGACCGAGCATTGTGTGTGTTTTGCCGGAGCCCGTGGCGCCATAGGCAAACACGGCCGCATTATAGCCATTCAGGACGTCCTTGACCAGTGGTGCTGTGGTGGTTTTGTAGACCTGCTCCTGTGTGTCGTTCTCCTTGAAAACGTGGTCGTATGAGTATTTGCGTGGCCGGCTCTTGCCGCCGTCGTCATAGAGCAGAGAGCCGCTGGAGATGACCTCGATGCAGCGCTCCGTGGCCTCCAGGCTGGGACGTACGCGCACCGCCACCTGGACAATGCGAGTGCGTGAAGGTTCATTTACCTCGGGTGCCTGATGTTTGATTAACTTACCACTAAACGCTCTTCCTGGGCGGGCTGGGCGGTCGCCAGCTGGCGTCCTTGGGAGGATGTGCTGCCCCCGCTGCTGCCCGACCAGCTGCTGGCACCAGCGCTAGCCGCCATCTTTGATCAGTTGACTGTCCTTCACAAGTGGGCCACGTGCCTTTGGAATGCTGATAACCTGAAACAAGGCAACAACAACTGCTCACAAATGGTGTCAATTTGTTGTCAACAATCGTAAAACTGTCATTAACTGGGTGTTTCCCCATGTCCCCACCTCCCGCCTCACATCTACCATCTCCCACCACCCGCCAACACCTTGAAGTAGTCGTAATGGATTGAAAACTTCAGCGCCAAGGTCTTTCCTGCCATGAACATGACTTGGCTTAATCGATGTTGCTGGCCAAGTTTGGCAGGTGAAAGTCCCGCGGGCTTTGTTTACGGCGTGGCGTGCACCATAAATTAAGCCGTGAACTTGAACACCTTCCTTGCATTTGCGTGTCCTCGCATGTAAATCAACGAGCATTAACTCTTCAAGAGTTCGATGGCAGCTCAAAAGCCCAATAGCTTTCCGGATGACCAAGCTGACCCGCAAGGAAAGCGGCATCAGCAGGTCATGACTCAAAGCCACTCTTCTAGAATATCATTAGCTAAATATTTGTATATTTATTTCGAATAAATAATGTCGGACTTTTAAATAATATAAACTAGAAAATGATGCAAATTTCTATAAATCATGCATACGTATATATATTCCAGGTAAAAACAGAAATTTCTTGCTGAATCCCATTTCAAATTATTATTCAATTATAAAAAAAAGTCTCACTTGAAGTGAATATTCCTTGTTGACCGCTCGGTCAATTAGTTAATGAATGAATTATGTTAATTAAGTTAATTAAGTATGTGAATTTTGAAGAGCCAAATCATTGTAATAAATTGTATTTTGCGTTAAGTACAAGCTGCAATAAGTTGACCTCGTCAAATTAAATAGTTATCTAGAATAAGTATCACCTGATACCAGACACACATACTAAGTTACAATGCCACCCATTTTCATTTCCATAACGATTTCCTTTTTATGGAATAAAACACCTTTCCTTGGCAGTGAATTAAATATAAAGTGTGCGCAGTTGTGGTCAATATTTGGGCGTTAGAGTGCATGAAATATTCAATGAATTTCAGCCTATAAGTGCTTAAATTATAAAGTGGAAGTTCGTATAAACAAACGCGCTGCAATTGGTGAGTGCGTGGCATGTAGACAAATTACCGGCCGTCAGTGTCAATAAAACAAATCGAGTAATTCTCGGGCACGCCCACTGGCAAACCAGGTCTTTGTACATTAAGTAAATATAAGCAATTCCCAATAGATCATCATAGACCCATCCTATCATGAATTTGATATTCAAATCGATTCACATTGAACGCTTCGTATGCCCCAATGAAAATCAACCTGAATTTTTGACGACTATTCGCTGCTGCTGCTTCTCTTTGAATACCCGGTCCATTTGATTATCAAAATGTTATCTTCTATAGAGAATATACGTACATATATGAATGAATAGCATACCAATAATATCCGAATGAAATTGGGCATTATAGATATCTTTGACTACAGAATTTATAATAAAACAAAATGTTGATATTAAATAAAAATTAGAGAACTTTTTTAAGTCAAGCGTTATTCGTTTATGATCAAGATCTAACTTCAAAGATGTCTCAATCTGTGCGTATATTTCAGCTGCAGAGTATATTTTAGTCAGTCATTCGCAGCAAGTTGTCTCTTTTTATTATGAGTCCATCGAAAATAGAAAATTAGGGTATATTGGATTTCAGAAAAAGTATATACATATTTTCAATCAAGGCGGCTGTCCGTCCGTATGAATGCTGCGATATTAAAAAGTAGTGTATACATAGTATAACTTTATAATTTGTTCCGTTAGCCCATCATTTTTCGTACCTCTCCTCTTCTTAAATATAGAAGAACTTAAGAACTTTATTTACCACCTAGTTTGCTTATTGTATCAGCTCATCGTATTATACAGAGTATCTCTGAACGAAGCAGTCTCGACTGAAGCACTCAAACCTGTTTGATATTGTTGCTTATTGAAATTGTGTAAATTGCCCGTAGACACGACAAGTGTAGACCAAAGGGACTAAATTCATTTGGTGTCCAGGTGAATAGCTATACAGAAACGTACTTCCCTTTATGTGTGCGTGTGTGTGCGGCAGTGGTTGTCCATGTTTTTGGTTTTGTTATTTGACGTTGTCGCACTCTCATTGTTAATGTTTTAATATTTTGAAAGAACGCATTTGATTTGATTTCGGTCAAGAGAGTCCGCGACAAAACTTAGCCCAGATTATGCCCAGCGATAGGCCCCACTGCGCTTGCTTAAAGCATGAGGCAACCCAGGAATATGTATATACATATACATATATGTATATGTAAGTGTGTATATGGGGTATGCATTCATATTGAGGCTCATTAGCGGCCGGCGGGCCTCTCACACCTACCTAGGTCGTTTGTATGAGTAAATAAATATATCAGTGGTAGCGCGTGCTCCAAATGAGCTCCACCATTTTTCATTTGCATTCCTATGTATGTGCTCAGGCCCAGCTCCCAACTCGACTGTCGCATATTGACAAATTGCCGAGCGCTAAACAAATTTCATTTATATTTACTGCGAAAAATCAGCGACAATACACATTTGTTTTTCGACCGCACACTCATAAAATGAAGCCACACACATTTGAGTGTGTGCCTAAAAAATCTGCAGTAAATTTGTTGGATTAAATATTTTATGCGATTGCTTAACGGAACTGACTTTAATTTATGTGAAATTTTTGGATATCTGATGCTGAATTCTGAATCTATCAGTAATCAGAAGATATTATAATAATAATATTCTGTCTCTCCTTTATCCCAGTCTCTTTTTTATTTTCATCAGATATCAATGTCTTTCACCTCATGATCTAGGCTCTACAAAAGAAGACTGTGATTCGTCCGTAATTCATAAATTCATAAAGATCTCAACCAGGACCAGATCTCCTGCTACACTTAAGTTGATAAACGCCTCAATATGGTATTTTAATTTTTCTGTTAACTCTAACGTTTAACTATAATTTTACCTTTGACTCTCTGATCTTAAAATAGTCTATTTTCACACACCCATATATGATGAAGTACAACTTTTAATTGCAACAAAACGAAAAGTTATTTCTGCTCTCATTTTTGTTCCGAACTTGTTTCGAATCAACAGTTAATTCATGCTGCTAAAACTACTAAAATAAAGTTTACGCTAATTAGAACACAATTCAAAAATAAAAAAAAAATAAAACGCAGTCTACTCATTTATAATAATTTTGAGCTTGTGCAGTCCAGGGCTCTAGGGATTGTGATTGATGGCCAGCATTTGTGGCGAATAGTTAATTACGTGTGCTCAGTTGTAGGTGTGTTTTATGGCTATTTATGGAGTCCATCAAATAAAATGTGCCTGGCTAATCGTTGTAATATGAAGTTTTTCCTGGCCACACTTCACCATAAGCCAGCAGAGTGAGCCACGAATTTTGTTGCTGGTTTCGTGGGGCTTCAAGGGAAACTGTTAACCTTCAGGCTGGGCAATTAGTCGACGCAATTAAAAAACTCGAGACGTTAACGCCAAAACGTCTTTGCAAAGCAGGTGTGCGTGCCACAATCTCAAGTGCTTGTCCTGGCTTAGAATGGAGGGCAACTGCTTCGCATTGTTTACAGTGCCGACGAAAGTTTTCGCACATTTCAAAACAAAATGACGCCCGGTTGGCCCCAATCTGAGCATGAAATAATGTAATATTTTACAATTCAGCTAAAAGTAAATGCAATGCGAGCAGAGATGGCCGCGATAAGCGGCTCAGGCAAGCGCCTCCAACTAGGTCAATTATATGCGCAAACAGCTGAAGGACCGCCAGGACCACCAACAGTCGCTCATAACTGTATGCCCAAACTTAGCATCGATTAACTTCACTAAGAGAACAAAACCTTTGCGCCACTCGATGGCAAAGTTTTTCAGCACCTCTGCAGAATGCCGCACTTACGATATGTTGTTTGTTCACCAACTATTTGAATATTACGGCAGGGCCTAGATAAATAAATGTTTATATATATGTGTGTGTGTATTTATTTATATATATATGTATATTTATTTAGACACTTTCGAGCAGAGCTTGACTCGCGCCAACAGCGAACCGTTCGCGTGAACTGGCAAAACTGAACTGAAAGTCCACCGGCTCTATCGGACTCTCTGGCCTGGTCGACTCTGGTCAAATTATAGGCATAGAGTACGGCATAGTACCTGACCGGGGGCTATTGGATTCACCCCTAACTGGCGACTGGCTTTGTGCTGCGCTGCGCTTTGTTTTGTTATGTCCTGCCCGCATAGCTCAATCAATTTCTCAGTTGTTGTTTCTTGGCTCTATTTCTTCTTTTTTTCTTTTTTTTTTTTTTTTTTTTTTTTTGTAACTCCACTCGTTTTTCGAATTGTTGAAATGCTAATGCGCCATTTTGCATACATTTCTTTGACGTTGGCCAGTTGAGCGTTCGCCCAGGGATTCTTGAATGTGAGCGGATTTGTAATTGTTGGCCTGCATGGGTATGACGATGGCCGATGGCAGTCATCCAATATGCTGTGAATCCCAATTCAATAAACTGTAAATACCAATTCAAGCTCTTGTTTGCACTTCATAATGGTAATTGCCTGGGCATAAATAAGTAGCTAAATACATTTATTTCTTAGGCAATATAATTTTCCAGAAATGTCCCGAGTTTCGGTAGCACCAAGTAACCAGCTAAAAGAGTCTAAATACCTTTCTGACTTATGCATATATTGACATATGTATCTGATAAATAAAAATAGAAATTGCAATAAAAGTCCATATATTTATATTCATAATATTTATAATACCTATATTAAGAATGAATTATAAAGTCTTAAGTTAAGCCTTTATTAAATTTTGATTTTCCAATCTGCAAAAAATTGCGCATTTTGTTTATCAAAGTTAATATTAAGAAATAATAATAATGAAATTTATTTTCTTCACACTTAAAGGAAAGAAATCAATATGAAATTACTTTTATTTTAATTTTGCGTTTTTTCCCAGGAGCTAAACCTTTTTTACTTTTTATGCAAATCACTTTAGGTTTTAGTTTTTGCTGCGACATAGTGAAGTCTAGTCGGGCAGCCGGCGCCTGTCCGGAAAACTAGAAACGTTTCCGCCCCATCGATCTCACACCATGCCACAATGGGTCGACTCAAGTCGAGTGAATAGGGCCTGATAATAAATGTTGCAAGTAAAAAAGTGTTACACATCAACATGAAGGCATTAATTTCCGTGTTGTCCTGGCTGGCTGTGGGAGAGCTGTTTGGCCCGATGCCGTTTTGCGAGCGCGACATTGAAATGTGAATTGTTTATATGCATGCAGCAATGGGAAATTGATTGATTGATAGAATTGGGCGGGAGCTTGATAAGCGTTGGCATTTGTAAATATTTTATTGAGAGCAGTCGAACAGCCGGGCACCCACGTCAGGCATCACTCACTAGTCCAGGCGCCAGGGACGGACTCGCATTTCCATTTCAAACTGAGCACTTTCACTGCGCGTCCCAATTTTCATAAAAGATTTCTCCAGGCACACGTGCATCCGGCACGAAAAGGTCGAGAGGTCCTTGGTATGCAAACGAGCAATGCCAAATTGCATGGTCAAACAACAAACAGAGCTTTTGAAATTTGAAATTTTTATTAGCTATTAGACCATATAATGCATGTGCAGCTGTATATATTATAAATGTAATTTGATTTTTTGTTTTTGCAATTTCACTTTAACTAAATCTTTAGTATGCATTGACGCAAAATAATATTTATATATGCATATTGCAGTGTTCTTGTAAATAATCATATGTGTGCATAAGAAAATGCATAACCAATTGGCCAATACTTAAATGCTAAAGGCTAACTGAAATTCGTATAACCTACGATACTGCGGGAATTAGGGGGTCTGGTGGAGGGTCTTGGTGCAAGCGCAATGTAAACAATAAAAACCATTTTAACACAAATTGTGGTAAGCGCCGGCAGTTGTTTAACCACTTTATACTTTGGGCCGAATTCGTCTATGTCAGTATAATATAGTTGATATATATATTTTTTTGAATACATATATATGTATGTTCTCAATTTCATGAATTTTTCATTCCTTTGGGCTATTTTCGTCTATTAGATTATTGAATTAGTTTATAGTTAGTTTACTTTATGTAGAAAATAGCGAGCGCGCTCATATAAATGCTCTGACAATTGTTGCTGGAGTGTGCGTGCGTCTGCGTGTGTGTGTGTCTGTGAGTGTGAGAGTTTGTTGACCACTTGTACATATTCAACTATATGTAACTCGTTGCCATTCCGTTTAAGCTAGTGGAATACTTTTAGAGCGTGCGCTGCGGCTGTAGTTGTATAATTATCATTATCAATATGCGCAAATTCTTATCGTTTGCGTTATAATGCATATTATTGTTATTGTTAATTCCGTTGGCAGTGCTTAGACACAGGGTTCGACATAATTTCCCGGGAACAGACCGGTTACACCATCCATTACACCCTCCCACCAGCCATCGTCGTTCTTCTTCAGCACATACAGAACGGAACTCTCTTGGAAGCTGAGCTCGTCATCCTTGTCAGCATAATAATCATAGATAGCCACCACTAAAAGGAAAAAAAAAGACAATACATATGAGAATACACATCGAAAAATATATATGCTCTGGTATTTACCCTTTTCAATGTAGTTTTTGGGCACCCAGCCAGGTAAGTTCTGATCCTCCGGCACAATTGGGGCCAATTGTGGGCCCGTTGAAGTGCGTGGCCGCCCAAAGTCTTGGTGCTCATCCTCTGGCGGCGGCGGTGGTGGCAACGGCGGTGACTGCGATCCAGGGCGAGCGAAGTTCAAGCTGAAATGATTTCTAGGCACACGAAAGAATTAACATAAAACTTGACTAAATAGTAAAAAGCATGCAATTTACCTATTCGGATTCCTGTGGCAGGCAAATGGCATTAAAAAGGTACGATATGAGTAATATACAAACGAACAATGAAAGCATGCTATGTGTGGTTGCTTACCTATTGATGTTGCGACCCAGGGTGTGCATGCCAATGTGACTCTGTTCGGTCATCTCGTGCTGCGAGACGGTCAACGGCGAGGGAGGCGCTGCTAAGGGTAATCACGAGAGTTTTCAGTATTTGCTTTTCGCAATTCAATTCAAATCGCTCAACTTACGCGGCATGCTGCTCCTGTCGTCGTAGGTGGTAGGCGGCGGCGGTGGCAGCGACTGCATCATGCCCGCCGAGGGCAGATTTACGTGCGTGGCAATCTGCTGGCTAGGCGGCATGGGCAGCGCACTGTAGCCGGCGGCCCGCTCATTGCCCGCTGCACCGCCACCAGTGGTGGTGGTTGTGGTGGACGAGGCCGTTGACATGCGCTTGGGATGTCCAATTGGATAGTTGGGAGCATAGTGTGAGGGCACTTGCGGTGGATTTACCACTGGAGGCGTGCGGTACTCCCGCGAACTCTTGCCCAGTGTTCCAGTATTGCTGACCGATTTGCCCAGAGTGCCTGTATTGCCGGCACGCGACATTTGTGGCGGTGTCGGTGGCTTCGTGGTGGGCGGCGGACCCACCGATGACGGCACCAGAGATTGAACAGAACCATGACTCGAACCGCGGTGCTTCTGCCGTACAACATGCTGGTTGGAGGAATTGATCCCATGTCCAATCTCATCCAGTATGGAATAATCGATGGGCTTGCGTACATACTTGATGGGCTTCTCGGGATTAATGGGTGCCACAATCTTGAACTGGCGTGAGCTCACCTTATTGGCCGTGAGCACACCAATCTCCCTGTAAGAATATATGATTAAAGAAATTCAAATGGTTATTTGTATTAATTTGGTCTTACCGTCTGGCTACCTTCTCCTTATGTATGTGCACGGTTTGAGCGATGTGGTTCATCTGCGACTCCATTTCGCTGAGCTGCTGCGCCTGCAAATCCAACAGCTGCATGTAGCTGTAGGCAAGAGTGTTGATCTGATACGCGACACTGGCCAGCGACTGAGTGGTGTAGTTCTTGGTGGCCTCGAGTGCAGCCTTTTTATTGTCAGCACGATAGTAGGTGTCCTCGCAGTAGTCGGCCACACGTTCGAGATTCGTGTAGCTGTCGCGTAGACTCTGGCGGCCATCGGGAATTTCAGTACGGATCAAAGATGCTAGTTCGTCCATTATGTTGTCGCTGGCCATGAGCGTTTCGGTTAACATGGGTATGGATGCTGCAATGAACACAAGCAAAAGTTTATGTTTAACTGCAATGATTGCATTTCATATTCGATTTTCACGATATAAACAAGCGGAAGTAAACATTCGTAGCAGTTGGGCGGTGACGAGCGCTGACGCTGACGTTGGCAGCGACTGAGATAATGACAGAGGCAGCGAGAGCGTGTATGTAGCTTATTATTAATTGGAGCATGGAATGCTTGGCACTCTAACTGCGACCTGTTTGTTCACTCACTTGATTCACTACACGATTGCACTAGAAATTGGATTTTGATTGGACTGCGTCGCGATAAATGCAATTAAATGCAGCTTCTGTTTTACATTTTACGGACGTGAAAAGAACGCAGAGCAAGTGATAGTGCTGTAAAACGCACTGTTAATTGCTCAAACTCTGGTCGCACTACCATAAAATGGTGCTGCCAGATGGTGCACTGTTTCTGTGCAAAATGTAAACAAAGATAAAAAGATGCCACCTATGCCACACAAAATTAAAAGAGGTGGCATCGCCGCTTTTCTTGTGAGTAATACACTTTTTTTCTCCTATTAGAATTTAGAATTGCACTCAGTTCACAATGTCGCACCAAACAGGCATCAAAGGTAAGCTAGCGGAACTACAAGAAAGAAAATATAAGTAATTATTTATTGTATATTACTTTACTTTATTATCAATATCAGCCAACGAGCAACTAGCGAAAGTGTTTGCCAAGGCCAAAAACGGTAAAATACGGGTGATAAAAGTATCAATTGAAAATGGTGAGTGGAACACACATACACATAGATATACAAATATCTATATGTATATGAATATGAATCAAAATATAACACCGGAAATGTGATTTCCGTTTGCTGACTCGCCCCCACAGAACAGCTCAGCTGCAGCGCCACAGCTGATGTGAAAAAAGACTGGGAGCGAGACTATGATAAGCTAATGTCACCCCTAATTGAGGAGAGTGTTCCCTGCTATCTCTTGTACCGCATGGATACGAAGCTGCCTCTGGGCTATGGCTGGCTACTAATCAGCTGGATTCCAGACACTGCCAGCATTCGCCAAAAGATGGTCTACGCCTCAACGAAAGCCACACTCAAGACCGAATTCGGTTCGGCGTACATCATGGAGGAGCTGCATGCCACGACTCTAGAAGAAACTACCCTGGAGGGTTACAAAAAGCATAAGCGCGAATTTGCTGCGCCGGCGCCGCTTACTATCCGTGAAGAAGAGATAAAGGAACTTCAGAAATCTGAAGTGCGCACCGAGATATCCACGGATACACGGCACCAGACGCTGGGCGGCATCTCCTGTCCACTGACGGACGCAACGCGGACAGCAGTGCAGGACATGTTGCGCGGCAACTACGACTACTTGCAGTTCCGCATTAGCCTGGAGGAAGAGCGCATTCATGTATCCCATGCAGCCAATGTGGAGTTGAGCGATCTGCCAAAGCAGGTGCCCGACGACCATGCGCGTTACCATCTATATCTGTTCAAGCACACCCACGAGGGCGACTACTTGGAGTCCTTTATATTCATATACTCTATGCCCGGATACTCTTGCTCTGTGCGCGAGCGCATGATGTACTCCAGTTGCAAGGCTCCGTTCCTTGAAGAGCTAGCCTCTTACGGCATAGAAATAGCCAAGAAGGTGAGCAAATCAAGCTCTGTTCAAAGCGCTGGTTGAAACTCATTTGATCTATTTACAATACAGCTGGAAATCGACAGCGGCAACGAACTCACCGAGCAATACCTGCAGGACGAGCTGCATCCCAAGAAGATATTGCATCGCCCAGCGTTTGCAAAGCCAAAGGGCCCACCGAACCGCGGAGCCAAGCGCCTAACGCGTCCCTCCAACGAAGACGAAGTCTGAAATTTATCGAGTCATATTCTTCACACGCATAATTTATGTTTCTTGTTTTCCTCGCAAAGCATTTAATTTATTGCATTTAAATTCTGTGCTCCATCTTCACTGTATCTGAGTCATATCTGTATCTTTAGTTGCACTAGGCATCAACTGAACAATTGAAACGCATAGCAGTAGCCGACTTGGGCTTCCTTAATTGTATTGTCTGTACATTTCGAGGACATTATTGCAATTTATTATTTAAATAAAAAATATCTAAAGTTACATTGAGCTGCTTCACTTGACCGCCTCCAATGTCACAGTCTCGCCCACACGCTTATCGTGCGCGGTGAACAGCTCGGGCGCATCCTTTTCGGCTTCGTTCTTTAAGGCTTGATGGATGTCATCGTCGCGCTGCACCCGCCATTTGTACTGCCAGTAACGCACTTCTTCCATGGTGGTGCCCGAGGCCTTCATTAGCAGCAGCGATGCCACACCGGCAACGCCGCCCATGAAGCCACCAATGATGCCTCCAGCTGCCATGCCACGCAGGCCCAAGTTGAGTTTATAGAGTGCGCCAGTTATGGAGCCCGCTGCTAGGTACTCGTAAATTGACGACTTGCCCCGGTAAACGGATATACCGGTTATGATGCCGCTGGTGAAAGAGCCAACTCGTTAGGAATCTAGTGGGACAAGTTATCTATAAAGACTTACAAGTAGGAGGTGGTAAACAGGCCGACGCGCCAGCCCCATTTGAAGCCGCCTTTTGCGAAATTCACCGTAAATTGATCCTGCAGCTTTTTCTGCAAGTTTCATTGAAAAGTCTACTTATTGAATTCACTGCATGAACTGAGGTGTCTTACCTTGGCATCGAAGTGCGATTTGAACGCCGTCGCTTGATTGTTCTCCATGAAGTTCATGTAGCTCACTCGTGATTGTGTAACACCGCCATAGATAGCTCCAACGAGGAAGCCGAAGAAGCCCACCTGGTATATCGAGTTGAGCTCTGAGGATATGCTGCCGAATTCACTGGAATATGAAGTATTGTTATTTCAAGTGTCTTGACGTCGTGTCAGTTGCTTCACTTACTCCACGGTAAACATTTGCTTAAGTCGCTCCATGCCAGTTTCATCGTCTCTTCTATGAGCTAAGAATGATTTGTATGTTTTGCTCTCTTTGTCGACAACATCGTTAGCGCTGCGGTCAATGCCCGGCAGAATGCCGGCAATCAAAAACCGGCCGCCTTTCCTTAAGAAACTCATGTGAAGTCCAGCGTTAAATAACAAAAAAGTACAAGAAAAACATGCAACGGTACAAACAGCTGTTCCCGGGTGATAGCGATGGGCACGCGATATCGTAAAGTCTTTCGCAAACAGACCATGAAATGTATGAGGAGGATACCCTATGTAAAAAATATTAGAAAACATATTGGTTTAACAAACGTAAAAAGCGAAAAATCATTTATGCTTAAAGCTAAGATCAACAATTATTTTTCATCTTTGAGCTACTATCTATAATAATGTATTTACATATTGGCCTATGAATTAATAATATATATTTGAGTATCTCGAAAACCAAACGTTTCGGATCAGCATATCTTGCAAATACATGATGAAATTGCTATGCATCGGATGCACAGCATACTGGGCACTGTAAACTATCGATATCTATAAGCATCGTTACTGAGCACTAACTATCGATATGCAAGTACTTCGGTGTTACTAACACTAGTCCCAACAGAATCGCCGCTTATTGCGGTGCTTGTAGGATTCGTCGTGTTAATTTCATCAATTTATTAAACAAATTAAAGGATTGTTGATATACCAATTTATTTTATTTTCATCAGTGCACGAAGTGCAACAAGCTAACAAGTCAACATGATGTACGATAATGAAGAAGGTAAAAATATGTCTAACAAAATTGCAGCGCACGCCGCGCATAAAAAAAATAACATGGCGGCGAAGGCGCTGGCGTTGTCTGCAGAAAATCAACTGAAAAATTAATATTTTTGCAGAGAATTTCGATGAGGAAAATGCTGAGGAAATCTCTCACGAGCTGTGGCAGGAGGCCTGTTGGATCGTGATCAACGCTTATTTCGACGAGAAAGGCCTTGTGCGTCAGCAGCTGGACAGCTTCGATGAGTTCATACAAATGTCTGTGCAGCGCATTGTTGAGGACTCGCCGGCTATTGAGCTGCAGGCTGAGGCCCAGCATACGTCCGGCGAAGTGGAGACACCTCCTCGATTTTCCCTAAAATTCGAACAGATTTACTTGTCCAAGCCGACGCATTGGGAAAAGGATGGCTCTCCCAGTCCTATGATGCCCAACGAGGCGCGCTTGCGCAATTTGACCTACTCGGCTCCTCTATATGTGGATATTACAAAGACAAAGAATGTCGAGGGCATGGATCCCGTGGAGACGCAGCATCAGAAAACGTTCATTGGCAAAATTCCCATCATGTTGCGATCAACATATTGCCTGCTCTCACAGCTCACCGATCGTGATTTGACTGAGCTTAACGAGTGTCCGCTAGATCCGGGTGGTTACTTCATCATTAACGGTTCGGAGAAAGTGCTCATCGCTCAGGAGAAGATGGCTACGAACACCGTGTACGTATTCAGCATGAAGGACGGCAAGTACGCATTCAAAACGGAGATACGCTCCTGCCTGGAGCACAGCTCGCGCCCCACCTCCACGCTCTGGGTGAACATGATGGCGCGTGGCTCGCAAAACATCAAGAAATCGGCGATTGGACAGCGGATCATTGCCATTCTCCCGTACATTAAGCAAGAGATACCCATTATGATAGTTTTTCGTGCTCTGGGATTTGTGGCTGATCGCGATATTTTGGAGCACATTATATACGACTTTGACGATCCAGAGATGATGGAGATGGTGAAGCCCTCCCTGGACGAGGCCTTCGTGGTGCAGGAGCAGAATGTCGCCCTTAATTTCATCGGCGCTCGCGGCGCACGCCCCGGCGTCACCAAGGACAAGCGTATAAAGTACGCCAAGGAAATTCTGCAGAAGGAAATGTTGCCGCATGTCGGCGTCTCTGATTTTTGCGAGACAAAGAAGGCCTATTTTCTAGGGTACATGGTGCATCGCTTGCTTCTGGCCTCGCTGGGTCGCCGAGAGCTCGACGATCGTGATCATTATGGCAACAAGCGCCTGGATCTTGCTGGTCCTCTGCTGGCCTTCCTTTTCCGTGGCCTCTTCAAGAATTTGATGAAGGAGGTGCGCATGTACACACAGAAGTTCATTGACCGCGGCAAGGACTTCAATCTGGAGCTGGCCATAAAGACAAACATTATCACTGACGGTCTGCGCTACTCGCTGGCCACCGGCAACTGGGGCGATCAGAAGAAGGCGCATCAGGCTCGCGCCGGCGTCTCGCAGGTGTTGAATCGTCTCACATTCGCCTCCACATTGTCCCATTTGCGTCGCGTCAACTCACCCATTGGACGCGACGGCAAGCTGGCCAAGCCACGTCAGTTGCATAACACACTGTGGGGCATGTTGTGTCCGGCAGAAACGCCTGAGGGCGCAGCTGTGGGATTGGTAAAGAATCTGGCACTGATGGCTTACATTTCCGTGGGCTCACAGCCGTCGCCGATTCTGGAGTTCTTGGAAGAGTGGTCTATGGAGAATCTGGAGGAAATCGCGCCCTCTGCGATTGCAGATGCTACCAAAATCTTCGTGAATGGCTGTTGGGTGGGCATACATCGAGACCCCGAGCAACTGATGGCCACACTGCGTAAGCTGCGCCGTCAGATGGACATCATTGTATCAGAGGTGTCCATGATTCGCGACATTCGCGATCGTGAGATCCGAATCTACACAGATGCGGGTCGCATTTGTAGACCTCTGCTTATTGTCGAGAATGGCACGCTGCTGTTGAAGAAGACTCACGTGGAGATGTTGAAGGAGCGAGACTACAACAACTACAGCTGGCAGGTGCTGGTTGCTTCTGGTGTCGTTGAATACATTGACACACTCGAGGAGGAAACGGTCATGATTGCCATGTCGCCCTACGATCTCAAGCAGGACAAGGACTACGCCTATTGTACCACCTACACTCACTGTGAGATTCATCCGGCCATGATCTTAGGTGTCTGTGCCTCTATTATACCCTTCCCCGATCACAATCAGAGTCCACGTAACACCTATCAAAGCGCTATGGGTAAGCAGCAGATGATCACTCTGATGAAAGTGTATATTAACAATTTCCCCCTATATCTGGACTCTAGGTAAGCAGGCTATGGGTGTTTATATAACCAACTTCCACGTACGTATGGATACCCTGGCGCACGTGCTGTATTATCCCATGAAGCCATTGGTGACAACTCGATCCATGGAGTATTTGCGTTTCCGTGAGCTTCCTGCGGGCATCAATTCGATTGTGGCTATTTTGTGCTACACTGGCTACAACCAGGAGGATTCCGTTATTCTGAACGCCTCCGCCGTGGAGCGTGGCTTCTTCCGATCGGTGTTCTATCGATCGTACAAGGATGCGGAGAATAAACGCGTCGGTGATCAAGAAGAGAACTTTGAGAAACCGCATCGCGGCACCTGCCAGGGCATGCGAAACGCTCATTATGACAAACTGGACGATGATGGCATCATCGCGCCTGGCATTCGTGTCTCTGGCGACGATGTCGTCATTGGCAAGACAATTACGCTACCCGAGAACGACGATGAACTGGACAGCAATACAAAGCGATTCGCCAAGCGCGATGCCTCCACATTTTTGCGTAACTCTGAGACGGGCATTGTGGATCAGGTTATGTTGACACTAAACAGCGAGGGTTACAAGTTCTGCAAGATTCGTGTGCGTTCCGTGCGCATACCACAGATTGGCGACAAGTTCGCCTCTCGTCACGGGCAGAAGGGAACATGTGGCATCCAGTATCGTCAGGAGGACATGCCGTTCACCTGCGAGGGATTGGCGCCAGATATTATCATCAATCCCCACGCCATTCCCTCTCGTATGACAATTGGCCATTTGATCGAGTGTCTCCAGGGAAAGCTTGGCTCCAATAAGGGCGAAATCGGCGACGCCACGCCCTTCAACGATGCTGTAAACGTACAAAAGATTTCTACTTTCCTTCAGGAGTACGGCTACCATTTGCGTGGCAACGAGGTCATGTACAATGGCCACACTGGACGGAAAATTAATGCTCAGGTAAATAGGAATATCCTGGGTGTATGAACGAATAATATTGAAAAAATGTCTATTGCAGGTATTTTTGGGCCCAACCTACTATCAGCGCCTCAAGCATATGGTGGACGACAAAATTCACTCCCGTGCCCGTGGTCCAGTGCAGATCCTAGTGCGCCAGCCTATGGAGGGCAGAGCCCGTGATGGCGGCTTGCGTTTCGGTGAGATGGAGCGTGACTGTCAAATCTCTCACGGGGCTGCTCAGTTCTTGCGCGAGCGACTGTTCGAAGTGTCCGATCCGTATCGCGTGCACATTTGCAACTTTTGCGGCCTGATTGCCATTGCCAATCTGCGCAACAATACGTTCGAGTGCAAAGGCTGCAAGAACAAGACGCAGATCTCGCAAGTGAGACTGCCGTACGCGGCCAAGCTGCTCTTCCAGGAGCTCATGTCAATGAACATAGCGCCGCGCTTGATGGTTAGCTGAGCTCCTGATAATTTTTATTAATGTAATAAGCATCATTTCGGAGCTCTTTGTACTTCTTTTAGTAAATAATGATTTTCTCATAACTATGACCAACTTAAACTTTATGCGAATTGTGTTTTCTACATTGTCTTCTAAGTCCATCTCGCAAGTGGAGCAAATGCGTGCGCAGAATTGTAAAGATGTAAACGTGTCTGAGTCTCTTAAATAGCTGAGCGAAAGTCTGCATTAAAAATTTACAACGTTTAAGTAATCTGAGCCGAAGAGATTTTTCAGATGGGTCTTTCGGTTTTTCTACAAAGTTTGTAACGTGTATTGAAGCAATGCAACATTTCAGAATTATCAGGTTTAATATCAGAGTTAGAAGTATATTAGATTGCACTCCAGCAATCTCTATAGGATACACTCTCAATATTGCCAATTTGTTCTTAACATATAATTGTTTGGTATACTTCCGCTTATATGTCTACATATTTAGATATGGTTATCTCTGTATGTGTCTATCCTAAATTTAGGCATGTCTATTTCTATCTATATATTTATATATGTCTGTCTGTCTCATATTCACAGTTGGAATATTTTAATGGAATCGGATTTTTAAAGCAGGTTTCGCGTATTTCACCATTCATCATACATTTTTTTTTAAACATATAGGCTTGCAGATATACATATATGAAATTCCAACAAGTTAGAATTAAGAAAAGTTAATGAATAGAATTTTAGATGAGTACTAGGTAAATTCATAGTCGAGTAATTATTTAAAATGTTCATTTGCCTCATTTTGTACAGCTTCGTTTTCGCCTTTCGACTTCTCCCTGGTATCGTCAACTGCAACTATCACCTATCTTATGTAGCGAGTGTATTCGCACTGGGGCTCTATGATAGCTTTCCTTTCATGGCATTTTGTTGCTATTTTTGCTCTCTATGAATTTGACGTAATGTTTGGCCCGCGGTCTGTGCTGGCCGATGACAAAAGGGGATTAGTTCTTTGTTGTGATGCTGGAGCTTTGAGTTGGCTTTAGTTGTGGCAACCAATTGACTGACAGTTATTAATTGCCGCTTGACGTGAGCCCGTGCGAAGCGCGTGAAATTGAGACTGTCAGGGGCTTTGGGGGGTTGGCGCTGTTGCCACCGCCCATCATTCAGCGGCAAATGCGGCCGCCTTTGTTATGGATAATTGAAATGGCATGTAAATCGTCTCGCCAAAGCGTGTCTGATAAGAGCCTTTCGGCGGTATTTGAACAACTCCAGAGGCATTTATTTATAGCGGCTTATATACATAACATAAAAAACTTAAAAGCTTAAGTGCAACAAGGATGCAGCACTCGGAACTACACTCCCCCTATTCACTTCTCGCCGTTGCGGAAAACGGTGATCGCATAGAACTCGGGCAGTCGATAGACCTTCAGGCGCTCGTGACTGAATTGTCCATTGGCTCGCGCCTTCACAAAGAATATGTCCTTAATGCTCAGCTCTTTGCGCCGCTGCGGCTTCTCCACGTGTCGCTGTTGCTTGGGTCGGTAGCCTTCCAATTTGTCCGGGAGCAACTTGACGTAAATTATGTCCTGCTCCCCATCGCCCGCCGCTGTGCGCGCCTGATAGAGGAACTCCTGCGTTTCGGGATAGATCAGCAGCGGCTCAATGGGCAACACTTCACTTGGGGCCTCTGGATATGACACGAGATTCCTGTCAAAGTTTGAGACTGGAGCACCAAGCGATTTATCGACAGTCAAGCTGAAGCACATGCACATTATCAATGCTGAATGGACGAGCTGTGGAAAGGAATGAATGATTTAGTTACAGAATATAATTAAAATAACGCTGAATACCATAAACATAATAATTTAGAAACGTGAGCATTATGCTCTGATATGATGAAAATAATTTTGATACAATTTCAGTTTAATTTAAAGTAAATTCTAAAACATGTATCTTTTCAAGATTACTTCGCGAAATAATAAAAAAAAATAGTAATAATAATTTGATATGAAATTTAGAAAAACAAATGCATTATACTGTAATTTAAAAAAAAAATTTAAATTAAGAAATTAACTGGCAATGTTACACTATTCAACATAATTTATTAACCATTAACTTGACAGTAAGGAGGAATATTTAAGCAACAAGCTTACACTAGTAATTCAATATATATGGTATGGAAGAAGATTTGAAGGATTATTACAGACGAAATAATGAAAATATATTATAATAAATACAATAAAAATATTATAATAAATTACAAGTTTTAAATTTTTAAGTTTTCTTTTGAATTTGTACAATTTTATAAGTGAAATATTTAAAAAATATATAAAAATTATAATATGAGTATAATAAATATAGTATACAAATAATAGCAAATTAGAACACTATATATAGTAATATACTATACAATTATTGTTGCCATTAGGCAACACGGTGGCTAAAACGAGATTTTAAATAGGCAAATCCCAAAACATATTATTTTAGATTTTGTTATTCGATTGTGATTATTATTTAAAATGTACTTAAGTTTGTTGTTATATAAAAATGCTTGGTAATCAAGCTACTAATTAGTTTTGCGATAGTATCCGACCATGGCCAGATGAAATTGTTTTGTTATCTAAACGAAAAATCATCTTTTTTTTTTTTTTTTTTTGTTTGTTACTATTTTTAAATCATTTGTACACTGTTTAATTTGTGTCCCGTTTTGCAGTTACCGTTTTGAACTTATGCTGCGACATGTTGACTGATAAATCGTAGCACGCTGATTAGGCTTTAAGGCAAATTGGATTCTATAATTTAAGCCGATTTACGCGCTGCCAAAATATATATAATAATAGCCGAATGTCGCGATCAGAGCCGCTGTGTGCAAATAGTTTTGAGGCAGTTGAGTTTAGAGCCAAGCGCGACGCGCAAATGTTAAGCAGAGACTGGCGCGCGACAAGGCCAGGTTACTTCATTTACCAAGTCCAAGTCCAAGCCGGCGACGGCGACTGTCTCTGCGTCTGCGTAAGCGTCGTCAGCGTCATCAGCGACGACGGCGACGGCGTTCTGCGCAAAATGAATCGTAAATTGAAGGTAAATAAATAACGGCTAAGTAAAATGTTAAATGTAGAGGCGTTGGGGCGTTGCAGCTTTGAAGTTGCTAAGTAGCTGCCGGTATCTTCTAATGACAGCAGCTAATAATAATATTCATAATATTATTGATATTAATTGATCACTAGGTCGTTGGGGCCGAGCCGAGTCAGCGCGGGTTCAATGCTATCGACATGCTGCGCTTCGAGTAGCTCTCTAACACCCGCAGCAGATGCTCAGCTCACAGGCATTTACATTTAGAAATAACAAGGTTTGCTTGTGTATTTTATGCTTTTACGCGCAATGATGTCAATTTTATTATTATTGCCCAGATAAATACTTCAGAGTGAGAGAGAGAGAGAGTGAGTGCGAGAGAGAGAGGGGGAAAAACATGCGCAGAAATGTTTAATTAGCAAATATTTGCGCATAGCTGAAGAACTGTTTGATTCTGCTTGACTATTGTCTTTGGCCAAATTATAATAAACATTTCTATGATTTGTGGTATTATTAGCCTAGCTGATTGGCTACTTTGAATTGACATTGATGAGTTTCTGCGACTGTTGATTGCAATTGAACGTTGCGCGCTGTAAGCAGAAGCGTTTATTCAATTTGAGATTTATGAATATGAATGACGTGGAAACCCTTACGAAACTTTTGCTTTGGTCGTATAAGTAGTATGTAATTGATAATTATAATTGTCAGTAAATTGTTGAATATTATTATTGCTGCTTGCTGGTGCGAGAGGAATTGCATTATTAGATATATTTTTGAGTATTCTTCGTTATGTTAATAATAAAATAATAATAAATAATATTGATCTTCTTATTGGGTCGATCAATAATGAACGATAGACTTGCCATGAGCATGAACTAAAATAGGTAGCTCCCGGTTGATCTCTTTTAAAGAATTATAGGCTTTAATTACATTTAGTTTTAGTTGTTGTTGTTGCTGTTGCTGTCCAGAAAGAGTATTAATCAGTCGGTTATTTATACCTATTTTCGCAATTTTGGGGAGTTTAAAGAAAGGTGTTAAATACCTCAACTAAGTGACAATAGGCATCAAATTATTTTTAATTTTTATTTTATTTTATTTTTTTATTTTGAATGATGTTTATGCTGATAAAAATACTTTTTGAGCAGCAAACTAACTTATATTAGATAATTGAAATTTTCTACATTGCATATATTTAATTATTAAATTTATGTTATTTCCAACATCTTTTAATCTAATTTAATAATAATGCCTTTTAATCTAATAAAAGAAAAATATATAAATAAAACAGCAGACCCATGAAAATTTTTTCCAGTTTCCTACTTCTATAATTTGTACTCACAATTGGCGTGAAGCCCTTAAATACTTTACATAATTTATTGGGTTGACCTCAAGTTTAGCTATTTACCAAATAGAAACGAAATATTGTTATTTTACTGTGTAAGTAATTTGTAATTAATCATGCGTCCCATGAACTCCACTACCTCACAAGCTTTCCAGTAGCAATGAAAAAAAAGCCTGCTTAACAACATTGTAGACACTATATCTAATGATGTTTACGCAAGCCAGAGGAAGCCATGCATCAGCTTTTGAAGTAAAAATCACAATAAACTAAGCCCAAATAATTGAAGTAGTAACACAACACGCTGCGCTCTTAAGAGTTACCAACTGGGCACCATCAAGGCCACAAGCGAAATTTAATCGCTTTAAATGTGAAATTATTTACAAGCTAGAAAAATAGAAAAAAGAGCATACAAACAAAAAATGAAACTGAAATGAGGCTGAAATTGAATTCGAAGCACATCACATAATCAAAACAGTTGTCGCTTGATTTCATTTTTGAGCGCGGGTCGAGTACGAATTCGTGATTTTTTAATTGTAGCAGCGCATCTCTCACCTGTTTTGATTACGGCTTACGGCTTATGCTTCGCCAATGGGCGATCTCATTTGAGCCACTCTACGCTCTGGTATTCAATGTTCGTTTCGTTTCGTTCTATTCCACCAGAAGCGAACACGATTAATGGCCACATTCGTATGCAGCCGGGGAGTTGTGTGAAAGGTGAATACTTATCGCATATCGAGTCGCCTCTGGCGTTACTTAGCTTTGATTCCGATGGTGCTACCGTTTCAGCAAATGGCACGAAAAGTGAAAGCCCAGCTGTGGCGCCAGCATTAGCTATAAATATATACACATATATGTATATGTATATACATATGTATTATGGTTTATTTGTATGGCAAAGCGATTAGCTCACAGAGTTATTGGTTTGTTAGTTAGGGCGCCGAATTTAAACTGGCGAGCATTGGCATTTCTCTTTAAAATGCAAACATGTTTATTACAGCAAAGTCAAAACTCTCATGATAGATAATGTTTCGGGCTACATTTTCAGCTCATTTTGCTTTCATCATTCGCTTCCGCATATCTGGATTATATCTATGTAACAATCTTTTTGAATATAATTTAATTGTAATAAGTATTTCCTTTAAGTATTTACTCTAAGTATTTCCTTTAAGTATTTCCTTTAACTATTTCTTCTGAGTATTTTCTCTAAGTATTTCCACCAAGTATTTCCTCCTAGCCTTTAGTGCTTAACTGAACGGTCACTCAATTCACTTCACTTTACTGCACTGCACTGCACTGCGACTGACCCTCACCAGGCGTGGGCGACTGAAGAAATGCTGCAGCTGCTGCCCTTTATATAGGACGACTTTCACTCAATCATTTAGTCGCTCTCAAATGTTGAGCCCGACGTCAGTCGAGCCTTAAGTGACCAATGGGAACACTCTCTGCTGCTGTAACACTCTAGCTTCGTTTTAAATGATCTTCGGTCCTCCAGCTTCGTTCCTTACTCTTGTTAGGCACACAGACAGAGACACTGCCAGAGAGACATACGAACAAATATGTGTCAACGCGTCGATCTCTATAAGCTATTAGAGCTAGAGAGCTAGGCTCATGCAGATCGAAGAATGCTAAGCATTTTTCCTCTGCGCGTGCACACATACATTCAAACACGCATGGTCTGTATTTTATGTGGATATGCGTGCAGTGACTTGATGAAAATCTTTCAAAGAAACTGTATGGAAATATAAACAACATATATTGACACTTATAATGCAGCTCATTATTTATACAAATTTTTGGGTAGTGATATATTATACATACATACATATATGCGAACCATGTTTAACTTGATGTCTGTTGCTTTTTAAGCAAACTTCGGGCTTAAATTTGTTAGGTAAACTTCACACCTGCTCACCTGCTCTTTTTTGTGCTTCCTTCTATTTATAGTTATTGTCAAGCACTTTGAATCTAAGCAGCTTTGCCCCTTTAATAAAATTGCTCTTTCCCTGCTCATTGATTTCAACTCAATCATAACACAATAACATTTTAACAAAACATATATATGTATATTTCATATATATTCAGCAGCTGAATTTCACAAAGATTTATTGAAACTATTTTAGCAAATTGGTTTTCCGTGTCATACTATTTAAACTAGAGAAACATTCAAAAGTCAAGAAAACTTCGGGAAAATAGTTGGGTACGTACAGACAGGCAGCTATAAAATGTTTATCTGTAGCCAGCTTTAATGGCCAAAACTTGTGTCTGCTATGGCTTGTTCAATGTGCTTTTCCAGCTACGTGATGAAATAAAATTATACTGAAGGAGAATCTCAAAAGCCAGAAAGGTGCTTCACTATACAATAAGGCACGAGGAAGACAAGTCGGTGCTCTTTTAATTACCATAATTACATAACTGCACACACGCACAGGCACACGCACACTCACACTCACACACACACACTTACAATGATAATATTGCGGTTGCCTATAAGTATGCAGCAATTTTAATTGGTGGAAGCGAAACAGCAAATGTTTGTGGAGTGGGCTAAGTGCAAAAACGACAGGAAGAGAGTGAGAATGAGAGAGAGAGAGAGGGAGTGAAGCTACAGGACAGGCATGTGCCACCCTGTTGCTCTGCTTTTATTGTCCTTATCGCATAAACTTAAATAGTTTTTACCAGCCACTTTGCGGTTTTTAAGTTATTTTGCGTGCAGCACTCTCAAGTCGCCTACTCAAGCACGGGGAAGCCAGCTCTCCTATACGCCTCTCTCTCCCTCTCTCTCACTCTCACTCGTTCTCTCTCCCTCTGCTGCTTTTCCTTGCTCGTATTT